CAGACATGTCTAGAATGGTTTTTTTTGTTTTTCACTGAGCTGGATGTGCAGGGAGTTTGATTTCTTGCACCACAAAGGAGACGAAACAATCAGTGTGTCTGTTGTGTTCTACTGTATGTCTAGAACCAGTCCATTGTTCACTCACTGTTCCCTATATAATAGACAGGAGTGGGTTTTCATTCTATAGATTTCAGACACCTTTGAGTCATCACCAATTTGCGTCATCACAGTAACAGATAACACGTGTCATTGTGACATTGTTTACAAAAAGACACGTTTTTGCTCCATTGTGGAAAATGCAGAAATTGGATTCTTACATGAAAAGGCAGACATGTGCACTATATGGGCATAAAGGAGTTTTTTCCTGCATAGAAACATTTTTGGTAACCCCAAAGAGGTTGTAGCCAGCACCAAAAGAGAATCAGCAGAAAAATGATTAGAAATTAGAAGTTTGCTACTTAGGGATTAATTTATTCAAGCACAATAGACTTTTTTTTTTTTTTAATCAAATGGTCAGAAATAACAGGAAAGACATTAAAGTCAAGTTAGGGAACACAGACTCTTTCCCGAACAAAACCTCCTCAAAGACACATTCTGAGCAAAACTCTGCATAGGCTCCATTTTTACATAAAACATTCTCCTATAATTGTAACATTCCTCTGAAGTGGAGAAGTTCACGGTATGAATCCACTTCTACATTCCTGCACCAGTTTTATCATTAAATGTTATTAGGGAAAACATTCTGCTGCCGGTGTTATAATATCTGGCAGTACAAAGCTTTGCATTACCGGACATTAGGTTGGGACTCTTGCTGAATTTCTATGAAAAGACGCGCTGCACTGTGTGTAAAGCTGAACTTTACGTTGGTCTGATGGCATTCAGCTCGGGCTTCTTCTGAAAAGTCCAACCTTGTAAACTTTCCATGGTAACGATTACGTGGAAATGTCTCCGGCACTTAACCAGATACATTAAGCTGCCATCAAATTACCCCAAAAACGCTGCTCAAGTGAAAGGAGCTCATTAAAGGAATTTTTTCTTGTAAGAAATGTTTCAGCTGGATGTTAAAATACCACATCCCCTTAACTGTGACTTGGTTATTTCAGGACCCTTCTTGTGACATTGCTTTCAGTGTTAATGCTCCAAGGCTGTTTCTTTTTCTTTTTCTTACTGATTTACAGAGAGAACGTTCTTACCTGTTAACAGCTCTTTGTTCAGGTTGGCGCGGTCGACTGACAGGATGTACTGAAAAGAGAACAATCTGTAATGCTGCAGTTCTGCAGGTACAGCAGCCTCACAAACACAACTATAACACCGCTCATTTAAAACTGGAACAGAAATCCTTGAGGGTTTATATTTTCTAACTCCGGTTACTTTCACCGTTTTTCTTAGTTGTCTTTGTCTTATTTAACCGTGTGGGTCCCCATGAGATGAAGACTCTTTGCCAAACTGGCAGCAGGGTAAATAAACAACTATTTTCAGGCAGACTAGCTTTATACACTAACAAGGACACATTTAATTATAAAACCACTGTTTCATAGAGTTGTACGACACAATGCAGTCTGACTCCTCACTTGCACCGCTCATCATTTGGTGCGGTTACTTCAGTTACCTGCACGTGTGAGCTGTTGAATGCACACAGGGTCTAGCAAGCTGCAAAGTGAATATTTAATCTGCAGACCGAGTCAGTACGCATAAAGCATTTCTAACAGTTTGACTACAAACAAGCAAATATTTGCAGCATGGACACAGTGTAATATCCTTTTCAGCATATGTAGCATATATGACAGTCAGTTTAACAGTCCTCTAAAATAAGCAGTTTATCAGAAAGTTGAAATGAAAACATATAGTCATTAGTGCTTCTTGCTTATTTGAATATCAGATTGAATGAATACGACGCAGGACTTCACTAAGCTAATGATTTACACAGTTCTTACAAAAATACACACTCTCATTTTGTGAACGTCTTCAGTTCTATGTGTGACAAAGGAGAGGATTACCTGGCCTTTTTTGCCGTAAGGGATGGGGGACTGTTTCCCACTCAGTGAATGAATCATTCTTGCATGCATTGGGATTCCCTGGGAGACGATCTGAGCAGAGAAACAGACGTGAGCAAGCATTACATGTGCAGACAATGTTACGGTACGCAATGTTAAATCAGTGTCTTCAAGTGAAATATGATAAGTGAAAAGAGGTCATCTTGATATGGACAGCCAGCTACTGCGCGCGGTGACTCAGTGTCTGGCCTTTGAAGCGTGTATGAAGACCTGGTAAACAAGACCTTATTTTGTCATGCTGGAAAGTCATGCGAGTGTAAAAACTAAGGGACTGATGCAGACTTCTCGAGCGTGCATAAAATGCTCAGTGCAACGAAAAAGAATGCTGACCTCAGATGCCAGAAAAAAAAAACCCATCTTGAGTGGACTTACAAGCAAAGAAAGGAAGGTGTTCCCTGGAGACATATTTAATATTTCATGACGAGAAATAAACAGAACTGTTTGTCTCCACTCTGGTCTGTAACACCATATCTCCTTACCTTATTTCCACTTCACCTGTTAGACAGTAAATACATTTTATGTCAGCGTACCTTCTCCTCCATTCCGACATGCTTCAGTGCTTGCCGTCCTCGGTGAGACAAGGCCAGGTTGATGCTTCTGCCCTTCACAATTTTGGCTTGCCGTATATCTGACCAAAACCACACACGCACACATCATTTCAGTCCTACATTCTTACCTGTGAGAAAGTATATATGCTGTTCATAAATATTGTAATTGTGATATGCAGGTGCATTCTTCACAGAGTGGTGTGTGTGTGATATGACAGTTATTTTCCTGAAAAACTAGGGTTTCAAATGAGTTTTTTGAGTGCTACCTTCCCGAGTTTCAAAGACTTCCACATCAAAGCCTCTTTTGGCAAAGAAGCAGGCATTCAGTGCTCCTACCTAAAGAGTGAAGGGGATATACTTTGAAAATTATCACAATTTCACATTGTCATACATGAAAAATCACCTTGTGGCTGCACTGTATTGTACTGTATAGGCTGCATAGTCATTCCTAAACACTCTTCTGTAACCTTCTTTTCTTTACTCTGCACTTTAAAAATGCAAATACACTTCTTTTATCATTCTTTCCTTTCCCTTCCAATTACAGCTTTGTAAAACTGACCCATTTATAAGAGGCCTGTTGCCATGGAAAAAACACATTTACAGCCAAGAGAAAAAGACAGACGACGTACAAGTGAATTAATAATTCACTTTCATTTTCATTTCTTACCAAACCACCGCCCACAACTGCTACAACTTTTTTCTTGGATTGTCTTTCAGGTGATCTCTCCATTGTCGTCAGTGTTCTTTGGTCTGACCCCGCTCACTGTCCAGTCCAAAGTGATCTACAGGACAACTGAGTTAAGAGTTAAAAGAGGAGGAGCGCTTTGAATTCCATGAATGTCACTTTCAAAATCAGTTCCCCTTTCTAAGCAAACACAAAAGACAGATAAGAGGGCTTTCCAAGCAGCGTTAGACAATTCGCTCTGGTGTCCTAGAAGCCTAAACCAGATAAAAACTGTGCTTCAGCCAATTTATTTGGGAGCAATAGGTTGTGTTCAGTGTCATAGTCTCAGAAAATATACCTGCCTGTTGATTATTGAGCCTTCAAGCTTAAAAAGTGCAAAAGTTGCTAACACTTGCTGCAAGTTGTCAGCAGTTCACTCAAAGCGTACATGCATAGAGGATCATTGAAGCAGATGTATTTTTGCCTGATCCTGTACCTGAAAGCACCACCAATACAATGAATTACTGCTTCTGATTATACAAGCACTGAATGAATGTCAAATAAATATACAAGTAAAGAAGTATGTCTCCATCTAGTGGCTGTATGATGACAGCACGTCCAGCCTCTTCAGAACCACATGACCACACCTGACACATCATGTGGATTATTGTGATGAACATAGAATTATTAGCTAATATTAGTTCACTTAATTTACTAGACTACATACAGTTCAAGCACATATAAGAAGAAAATACTAAAAAAAAAAAAAAGAAATGATGAAAAGAAATGCAATAATATTTTCTTTTTTTTCTCCATATGTAATTCCAGTGTTATGTTCAAACTGAATACGGTTAAAATGTTTTCTTTAAATGTATTTGTAAAATATATACCATCCATCACAGGGCTAACACAATCAGACAGACTTTATATTACAATATATCATAATACCTAAATAAAGAATCTTAACTGTTTTACTATTTTTTTCCCAGTAACTTCTTTGTAAACTATTAATTTCCAAAGAGGGCAGCATGTTCATGACAATATAGCACAACAATATCAATACATGAAAATTAAAAAAAATAAAATAAAAACACGTGCACAAAGAAAGAAACATTTTACAAATAATTCATTAATAGCTATTTAAAACAAACAAACAAACAAAACAACAGACTAGTCGAGTCACAGTCCAGATATTTATAATTCTTTTGCAGATATTCAGCCCAAACACTGCCTATTACCAATATTTATATCACAAACCACATCTTAGGCCATTATTATTTTACACAGACAATCAAATCAGATGGGCAGAAGAAGAACGCATTGAATTTTGTTGTTAATCCGAACCACTTTCGTCAAAACTGCCAAAAAAGGGGACCGTATTGTTGGTGGTGGGTGAACTCTCCCCTTCACCTGCCGCCGTTTCACTTTCTCTACAGCAGAGCTCGCAGGACAAAAGCCTTAAAACTTCCGACACGCCAAACGTAAAAGGAAATCCACACGCAGGCTATCTAATCGATATCAGAACCAATGACACAACGCGATTTTTACATCTTGGCTAGACAGTCTGTCGCTTGCCAGTTCATTCAACTTCATGTATGTTATAAAGTGGTTAATATCGTAGCGATTCATTGCATTTGTGGCAGAATTAAGTGCATGGCTGGTAACTTACCACGGTGAATTACGCTCTGGTCTGTGCTCGACCATTTGCGTCTATTTAAAGATGGCGCTCTGAAAGCCAAGGTTTGTTTTCCATGGGTGCAAAGTATGTTTAAGTGCATTAACCGAACGGCCCAGTTTACGAGACATCTCCAGTCAGCAGGCAGCGGTTCCTCTCTTAACCAATTTAGGTGAGTGCTGTCAGTCAAATTCTGTAACTTTTATTTGAAAATATTTTTGTTTTTTTTCACACCAAACGGCGAGCTAGCTAGCTAGCGAAGTAATGTTAGCAGCTCTAGCCGTTAATGCCGGTTTGTTGACCCAGCTAACCTCCCTAGCTAAGCTGTTAGCTATGTTGCTACATTAGGTGGTAGCTAAAATGGTTTGTGTCCGGAGCTCCTGTGTAACTTGGTCAACTATAATACACTTTTCAATCGCGCGGAATTAAAGGTTACCACAGAACTAGAGAAGGCAACCTGGTTGCCGCTTGAATTGTTGCTCACTTCTCTGAAGCTTTTGTTGCTGATTAAACAAGCTAACGCTAGTCACCCTTCTGTGAGTGGGATTATTTTATGTCCTCTGGCGAGTTACCAATTCTTTTATCTGCTGTGCGAAGCGGTTGTGTCCGTGTTTTTCACGTTTACGCAACAGCACACAGCTACTTTTAGGCGTTTTTGCTGCTTTATATTCATACGATTTACTACCTGTGTCGTCTACTTAACCCTACTTTGTTACATAGAAGTTGTAGCTACACTCATGTGGCTTTAAACTGATAATCCAAACAGATTAATTTGTTCTATTTTAAAACGGTTGTTTAGAACTGCGTCATGTTTGTAAAACTGACTACAGGGTTTAATGTCATATTCCTACAAAGGTGTGCTACATCAGCCTTGTGTTCGTCAACAGCAGTCGCTCTCGTATCACTGTCAGAGCGACCAAATGACTAAATAGTAGCATCTGCTGGATTTGAATTTGAATCGAAGCCATTTGGAAACTATTTAATATAATTTAATACTGGGCAAGATGTTCAAAATATTATTTTTTATGCTTATTTTTGGATGGCATTCAGATCCGGCTTTGCACTCGTCATACAGAGCTCTGTGGTGATTTAAATGGTCAAACAAATTAGCTGGGTTGCTCATGTGGCGGCACAAATTGCGTGACAGTGCCAACAGAGGACTTGTTTTTGGTCAACAACCTTTCTGCAGCGGACATATTTTCATGTAACTGCCGTTTTATTTCTTTTCGCCATCAGGTCTTCCTTTTCAGGGTTTCACTCCTGTTTTTTCACACCTGGAGCTTGCAGGTCAACAAACTCTGCTTTGTAGATAAAGTTAAAACTTTGTTATAAATTAAACCTAGACAGACATATCTTGCAGAGATGTAGTGTTACTTTTCGCTTTGTATTGAGTGCAAAAAAAGCTGTAGGTTGAGTTGATTTGCCTTACTTCACATTGCACTTCCTAAGATGTGACTATTGCACACGCACATGTTGCGATGTCGATGCTGAAACGATGCACTGTGCAGCCCTGTGCTGAACTCTGAGACTTACTTTGATACTCAGTAAAGGCTATTTAATATACTTATCAAAACTTGGTACATACATGCGTGTATATTTGTAGATATGTATACATTTGTCAGTCATGTTTGTGTGTTAATTTTTTGCCTCCATGACATTCTTAATAGTTATGAGAAGCATCCTCAATGCTACAACTCTCTTTGACATCATGTCATTTTCCACTGCAACATGAGTATGACTGGACAGATTCAAAGCTTGACTGAACTTTGTGTGTATATTTGATTTCCTCCACTGCAGGCTGGTGTCATCCTTGCCACTCAGAATGACCGACCCGGCTGTGAATAGGGTGGTTAGTGACATAATTCGCTCACCCGAGGACAAGCGGGTTTACAGGGGCCTGGAGTTTACCAATGGCCTGAAGGCTATGCTCATCAGTGACCCAACAACAGATAAATCCTCTGCTGCTTTGGATGTCCACATAGGTAAATGGCTTCCATTACTGTTATCTGGCCTCTTAGGCATGTATTTTTTATGTTGCTTTCCTCCTGCAGGTATCCCTTTTAATACAGTTAGAAAATCAAAGGGAAAGCTTTATATATATATATATATTTTATTTTTATTTTTTTGAAAATGGTCCATTAGAACACATGCAAAAAGGTTGTGCTTTGCTGATTAACTTAATGAAATACGTAGAGTAACCTCAGTAGTAGCTTAGGATAAGCATTTTTGATGTTTGCTATTCACTGTTCTTGTTGCCATGAATTAACCTTTCAACTTATTATTGTCATCCAACTATTTAGTTTCCCGTTGACACATATAACTGTTCCTCAACAGAAACTATAAAGATGTTGTTGACTTGCAGATTTACATCCTCTCTGACTAACCATTAGTAGGTTGAATTTAGTGTGGGAGGAGGAAATGATGAAATGCTGAATGTTTAACACTACTAACTTGTCTGTGGACGAGAAAAGTTCACCATTTGTTTCTGTCTGACTCAGTAAAATGCGGACTTGCAGAGGTAGCTCAAATAAAACAAAATTAAACCATATCACACTTCTGTGTTTGGCATTATGATACACCAGGTATCTCAATGTAGAACGTTACCCGGCATACTCTTAAGCATTTGAGTCACTTTATTATGATGCTTTTTCTATGCGTTTATTTAAATGATAGCCTAAATAACATCTCAACAATCTATACGTCTTTGCATATGTGTCTACCTGGTGTGGTGCCATTACATCAGGGAATTTTTCTCCTCTTTGACCACCTGCTTTCTTGGCCAACCATCTGGCAAGCTTTTGAAAAGTCACGATTTTGTATGTGATTCTAATGAGCAAACAGCTTGATTAAACACTTTTCTTTCTGTGACGTTTCTCCCAAATTTGCAGGTTCACTATCCGACCCTGCAAACATCTCAGGCTTGGCTCACTTTTGTGAGCACATGCTGTTCCTGGGAACACAGAAGTACCCCAAGGAGAATGAATACAGTCAGTTCCTCAGCGAACACGCAGGCAGCTCCAATGCCTTCACCAGCGGAGAGCATACCAACTATTACTTCGACGTGTCCCATGAGCACCTGCAAGGAGCACTAGATAGGTATCTTTATGTTCTTGATTGCTGATTAATCTTATCCTGTACTAAGCAACGGTATATCACATGTTGTGTATTTTGTGGATGTGTTCAGTTGTTTCACTTGTGAGACCTTTGGCACCATCATATAACTTGGTCTCTTTCAGTATTAGTCATAATTAACAAACTTGGCAGTAACTTCTAGACCAGGGGTGTCGACATCCGGTCTTCGAGGGCCGCAATCCTGCATGTTTTAGATGTTTCCCTCTTCCAACACAGCTGATTCAAATGATCAGAATCGTTATCAGACTTCTGCAGAGTTTGATGATGAGCTGATCATTTGAATCAGGTGTGTTGGAAGAGGAAAACATCTAAAACATGCAGGACTGTGGCCCTCGAGGACCGCAGTTTGACACCCCTGTTCTAGACAGCGAGTCAAAGTTTTCCCACTAGGTATTTATGGACCTGTGAGATTTTATTTAGTTTTTTAAGGCTGCGTATGCCTTTTGTCCAGTAAGCACACATGTCATCTGTTTGTCTAAGTGGCTGTTTGTTTGACAGTATACAGTGTTCCCCTTGGGAGTCCAGGTGTTAATCTAAGAGAGCTGCCAGGTCATTGTCTGCCCGTCTTTGGTTACCACACTCAGCCTCATTGTGCTGTCTTTTGTAACCATCAGCATAGTTCCTACCCCCCCCTTCAGACTTGAAACCTCAGGCACAGGGTGAGACTGATGGCCTCAGCCTTGCAGGGGGGCTCTGCTCACGTGTCAGCTGTGATGCTTTGGAAAGGACACTCGGGCGGTCAGAATTTAACCTATAGGGATAAGCTTACCTAATTAGAAATGAATGATGGTCTAGCAAGCACCTGTTTCTGTGGCATAGGCTAATTGTTCCCTTGCGCCAGTGAATTGTGAAGGCCATCTGGACTTTAGTGGTAGGAAAGGACAGTGCAGAGTGAGCTGAATTATTGATGATGTTGCCTGTTTGAAAACATTGCATCTGAAAGGATCATATGTGTCATTAGCTAGCCTAATGCTGATACATATGTTAATCATTTTCAGACTGTATTTCTGTCACACTTTAATGTCTGGGTGGTTGATTTTATTGTTACCTTCACTGACTGCACAAATATGACACAATGTAACAGTAGAAAAGTTTTCGAGTTTAGCTGAATATTTTTAGATTTGTTTGGGTTAAGCAGTTATACAAACATTAGAATGGCTCATACTTCTCATTTTAGACACTGTGTGACATTTTAGAACCCCTCGTGCTATGAACCAGTACCAACAGTCATGGGGCAGTTCCTTTTTTTTTATAACTCTTTATTGGTTTTTAAACAACCAGTCGCTGTGACGAGGCACCGTTTTCAGTCAACTCCAGCAGTGATTTTAAATAGGACTTTGTGTGATGTGTTGTCTGCTGCACACATTTCCAAATCTGCAGTCTTAACTTCTGTGTGTCCTTAGCATTTCCTCATTTGCATGGCAGTTGCTCTTACCTTGTACTCATGCAAATGAATTTTCATCATTTTATGTGTCCCTCTTTGTCTACAAATGTTCCCATCGTACACATTCACAATCTTCATTGTTTATAGCAGAGCATTGATCAATATGCACATTTTAAAATGTTTAAAGCCTTAAGGGTAGATCTGTATGGTGATTTTACAAGCTGGGTTGTACTTTTTTTGTGTTAATTTGTTGTTTTGCAATCTCTGTAGGTTTGCCCAGTTCTTCCTGTGCCCACTGTTTGACGAGAGCTGCAAAGACCGGGAGGTGAATGCTGTGGACTCTGAGCACGAGAAGAACTTGATGAATGATGCCTGGAGGCTGTTTCAGCTGGAGAAGGCCACTGGCAACCCAAACCACCCCTTCAGTAAATTTGGAACAGGTAGAAACCCTCAAGAGTTATTGCCAGGCTTTACTTAACCACTATGTTATTATGGTATTGTGGCTTTCTTAATATTACATCCTGTCTAAATTGTTATGGTCGGTTGTAATGTCTGTCATACTTGTGTGTCCATCTGTGTCTGTTTGGCTGTTCCCATGGACACAGACAGTGATTGCAGTCAGAAAGCAATCGCTGTGTTACACCTTTTATGAAACCTCTATAGGGCGGAGATGAATTGCAGTTTGAATCAGCCTACCAGCTTACACTTCTGTATTTCGGCGCAGAGGTCTTTAGTCATGGTTTTGGTTAGCTCGCTTAAATAATGAACTCATTGTGGAAGCTGTTGTGAGGAAAATCATCTCATACCAAGAAAAGAGGTTACTCAAGGTTAGAGAGAATTCCCAGATCAGAGTGACACAGGCTTGGAGCAGCTCTGAGCTCAAAATAACCACCTGATGGCAGTCTTGAATTATATAATCTCTATTCCAGTTAAGAATAGAACAGGATCAGACTGGCCTGAAAGCCGTGCACTCTCAGCAGACCAGCATAAGCTGCTCCAGACTGTTGCTTTGTGTGTGTCTGTCTGAAAAACCTCAAGTGCTTGACTTGCGTCAGAAGTGCTAGATGTGGTTCATGGATGGCAGTGCAGATTGTTCATTTACTTGGCATGTTATTGTCACAAAGACATTGTATAGTATGGTCAAGAAAAAGTTGCTCAACCTATTGTGTTCGCCAATCAAACAACTCACAAGGTTTCTAACTTTAGTTGCTCCGTATAGTTAATACAGTTTCTTAGAACCTCATTCCAAAATGTTTCTGTTGCTGCATCATTTCAATTCTAAAGAGGAACAGACGTTGTATTCGCTGGTACAGAGATATTTATCGGTCCATCCCCCATAATGCTCTGTTTACGGATTTCTCAACACAGTGTTCACATTTAGGAATTTTTTTTATTCAGCCTTCAATAATGACTGCAGTTGAACATGAAAACAAACCAAAAGGATCTTTTTTTTTTTTTTTTAGGTGACAGAGGTTGATCATAAGAATTGTGCTGGAAAAGTTGTGGTATATTTTTAACACATGGTTCCATTCATTGGCTAATGCTTTTTTTTTCGTTTTGTTTTATTTTTTAAATAGGTAACAAATTGACACTTGAGACCAGACCATCTAAAGACGGGATCGACATCCGTCAGGAGCTCCTGAAATTTCACTCGACATATTACTCCTCTAACCTCATGGGACTCTGTGTGTTAGGAAGAGGTAAGACTTCGTCTCTAACTAATGTAATGTTTTCATGTTGCGAAATCCTCACCCAACCCTAACAGCAGTCAAGTAACAATGAAGCCAGTTGCCCAAGAGCGGAACAAACAATGCAAGTCATGTATGACTCGGTGCATGTGACCTGAACCACAGTGTTTTAATTTTATTTGTAATTATACATATTGTTCTTAAATCCACTGTGATACTGGTATGCACATATGTTTTTATGCCATGTTTATCAATGCAATGTATGTCTGTACCCGTATATTATTTCTAAAAACATATGAGATTGTCAAGCTTCCACCTAATGCCAGTTGTAGCATTTCTTAAAGTTTCCTACATACAGAGCATGCCTTGTGCCTCACCTTTCTAATTCTGGAAGTTTGTTTTTACTGGCCACAGGCCCGTCGCTGCTTTCAACTTTGGTAATCCTCTGTAATTGTGAAACTCTGAAAACCTCTGTTTCCTTTGCGGTAAAAGGACAGCATCCTCTTTGTGTTTGCCATCTACAACAGTGTTGAAGGATAGTACATCAAATTCCCCAAATAAACTAAAGTTGACATTACGCAGTCTAAACTAAAGGCTTACTGCTGACATATCTCCCAACATCTCAAAATAATGATGGATACAGTTACCATGATGAATGGCTCCAAGTGGTTCACTGTTACTTAGCTGCTGAATGTCCACTGAGCTTTTTTTGGTGAAAAAATGATTGGAATGAAGCAGTCGTGAACATGCTGGAAATCGATTATCCCGCACAACGTCTTTAGTTGTGTTTGGTCTGCAGCAATGTTTAGGAGGATGGTACGGGTCAAAGTAACAACACGAATGCCAGGACCCAAGGTTTCCCAGCAGAACACGACAAGATGATCAATGTGGTATTTACTTCACTTGTCTGTGATTTTAATGTCGCAGCTGATTACAGTATATTTTTCTAACTCTTGACCTATAGAATCACTAGATGAGTTGACATCCATGGTGGTTAAGCTGTTTGGAGAGGTGGAAAACAAGAACGTGCCTATCCCAGAGTTCCCTGAGCACCCCTTCCAGGAAGAGCACCTTAAAGTGAGCTGATACCTACTCAAAACATCGTCTGTGTTTTGTGGTAAAATCTGTACCGACACTTTGCTAAGAACATTTTTTCAACTAATCAATGTTCTCTTAAAGCATCATGTGAGTTCCCTCTTAAGTTACATGTTTTTTATGTCGTTTGTTTTCTGTCACAGCAATTCTACAAAGTGGTTCCTATCAAAGACATTAGGAACCTGTACGTGACCTTCCCCATCCCAGACCTACAGAAGTACTACAAATCCAACCCAGGACATTATCTGGGACATCTGATTGGTCACGAAGGGCCTGGAAGTTTGTTATCTGAGCTGAAATCTAAAGGTACGGAGACAGAACGTTGACCTGAAAGTTGATGTCAGAACATTCAGAGAGTTTAGAGATTGTGATATTAAATATAACGCACATTTTGAAAAAACAGGAAGTCTTACGTATCATGTTGTTTGTTACCTCAAATGTTGCTTTGTTATGTTTTTATTCTTATTTTATTACCATTTTTAATTATTAAGGAATAACAACAGCAAGAACATGCACCTCTTCTGCCTGTTAAGCTGCTTTTGTGTGTTTAACGTCAACATCCAGCACTAACAGGGCAAACCATTTCCTACGAGAGCAGCACTTTTCTAATTTAGCGAGTATTTTTCAGTGCTCTGTGTTCATTATTAAACTTATTAAAAGGTTCAATTTTCCACCGTTAAATGAAAGGAAATTTCTGCTCTTTACTAAATGAAAATCACCGTGCTAATTATTTTCAAGGCTGGGTGAACACACTTGTTGGAGGGCAAAAAGAAGGAGCCAGAGGGTTCATGTTCTTCATCATCAACGTGGACTTGACCGAGGAGGGCCTCTGTAAGTTGTGCATGTTGCACCTGCGGGTGGACTGGTTGGTTTACCGTTGGGTGCGTTTTGCATGTGATTGTGGTTGTTCCCAAAGGAGGTCAGATTTGTGTATGGCTCGGTAAAAGAAATGTAAATAATATTCATGGTCTGTGTGCTTCTGCAGTGCACGTTGAGGACATCATCTTCCACATGTTCCAGTACATCCAGAAACTGCGCACTGAGGGGCCTCAGGAGTGGGTGTTTGATGAATGCAAGGTAATTTATGTTGTCTATTCAGCGGCATCATTTCTGAGGGGCAGGACAAACATGACCCACTTATGGTTAGTAGAGAAACTAATAGAGCAGAAGGTGCGTTGACAACAGAGACTGATGGATACAAACCTGCCAGCTCTTTTCACCGTCTTATCTGCTAAATATAGTCGTATCAAATTAAGCTAGACATTCATTTTTTATGTATAAGCTTGAGATTAGAATAACGTGCGGATGACATTATATACAGCACCGTTTCAAGATGTGGGTCTTAATATTATCTACAGCTCACTGTTGCATGTGTTGTGACTCCCCCTGTCTCCGTTTCTTTCTCTCTTTATAGGATTTAAATAAAGTCGCCTTCCGGTTCAAGGACAAGGAGCGACCCCGTGGCTACACTTCCAAAGTGGCAGGCTTACTACATGTAGGTCCCCTCTCCATCTGCAAAGGTTGTTTCCAGGGAGACTCGGTGCAGCCCATTGCGTCTTTAACTGCTGTCGTCATCAGGCTGTGTGGTGCTGCTGTTGACTCTGTTTTGTGAGACAGGAGATTTTGCAGAGGCGCAGTGAGAATTACGCTAGCTTTTATATTAACCACAGGTACTGTGTGACTTTTGCAGCAGGTAAATTACCTGTAATGCCACAAGTCCTCACATTTTACTCCAAGCAAGAGACAGAACATGAAGCCCTTGAACATGCAGCAAGTATTTTGCCTACTTTTCATACGCGATTGAGTTTTAAATCTGCCCTTTGGAAATCACAAAATCAGTGTAAAAATAATTCCAGTCCAATCCTGCTCCCCAGCATATCTCCCACCGCCCACAGCATCCTCCCAGCATCCTGCAGTCTTCTTTTAGTCATTCAATTATGAATTTGATATCAGTGCACCAAAAAGATAAAAAGCCTTAACAGCAAATATGGTTCATGTCAGTTTCTATTAGTAGCAGCTGCCTTGAAAAAAAAAAAAAATTATGGAATTGAATTTTAAGTGTTTGCCACGAATGTTTTCCAGTTCATCTCTCAAATCAAAGAGTACAATGCTGACAAGTGTTTTCCGTGTGTTGCAGTACTACCCTCTGGAGGAAGTTCTTGCAGCAGAGTACCTTTTGGAGGACTTCAGGCCAGATCTGATCGAGATGGTGCTGGATAAGCTGCAACCAGAACACGTCAGGTAAGCGTACAGAAGAGCTTCATTCATTTACACAAAAGATAAACATCACTGCAGCAGGAGCAGCTTCGGACAGTAACTCAAGTGTTAAATACTTGGTCATTGTGAATCTTGTTTTTCACTAATGTTTGGATGTTCTATACAAAAAAACCAAACCTAAACCAATATTAATTTCACAGTTAACAAAATGCATCAGAAAGTAGATGCATTACAATCCTTATATACATTATACCACGTATTATTGTACCCCCATTGTGACTGGTGTCTGTGCTCACTAAAACGAAATAAAAAAATAAAAAAAAGTGCTGTTGGTCTACTTGATATTTAGATGAAAGAGCTTTTCAATTTTCTGCCTTGAAAAGAAATGCCAGAAAGCTTTACAGATTTGATTATCTCTGCAGCCTCAAAAAAGGGTTAGCTTGTTATATCAGGAGACGGATGTGTGTGCTCGGGAATACATTATCAAGTTTTGCTCTCTTAGTTGAAAATTCTGGTATCCTGACAGGATTTTATATAAACAGTTTGGCCAGTATAAAATATATTAAACTGACTTGCTGTACATTTCCTGTGTATTGAATGTTGTCGTGATTTCAAACGCTAATTATACTACACACAACACAATTAACACAAAGTACTTTTCTAACATTATGTGCCACAGCTGAACCGATTCATATATTAATCCACTGGCAGAGTAGTAACTGCCAACAATTTGATAATTGATATTTTAGGCCAAAAAGGTCTGATTCTAGCATCTCAAAGTACACATTTGGTGGTTTCTAAATATTGGACTTAAAAGAAAAGCTCTTGGGAGTTGAGATGGGCATTTGTTACTATGTTTTGAGCGAGCTGGAAAATGTCTGTAGTCGTTAGTAGCAACCCTTCTTGGCAAAGACACATTTCTCAGTTTTACAGTTTCTAACCTTCTGTCTGTCAAGATGTCAGTGAATGTAATAAAGGCGGGTACATTTTGTAGTAGCTTAATATTTACAATTGCTTACCAACATAACAATCTTTCCCAGTGAAGCTTTAACCCCAATTCACTTTCTGTGCTGCTGTGTCAGGCAAAGTGCAGACTTCTAACTAGTCCATTCCTTAATGCCCACCAAAGAGGAGATGGCATGCACTCATTGGCCGACCCTGACAGCTTGCAGTCTCTTCCCTTACTGGAGTGGCTACTTAACCTTGGAGTTGTGCCAGAACTACTTTAAATTCATGACCGAGGGCTTCTTTGTGTATCAATCTCATTCCAGCAGCTGGAAGTGAGGTTAGAGCATTTTAGGTTGCATCATTAAAGTGATAGAAATTGTAATAACACTGGTTGAAAATGAACTCTGTTTGCTTCTGGATTATGTCCTAGCACTTTACTGTTTAACAAACAGAAGCACACTATAATGATTTTGCGATTGAATAAATGTTTAGATTCCAGTCAAAGGCACGCTCTAAATGCACTGAGGGCTCCAGCCTCGCTGGTGTATAGAAATTGTAAACATTAATTCAGACAACGTGCTGATGGATCTCCACTGTCTCAAGCATGCTCCAAATAGAATACTAATAGAAAAGCACTCCCGTCTTGTGGAGCGACTGCAACCAGGCAGTATATAATCAGCTCTGACAGGTTTCTGTACACGTGTAATGTGACCTGGATAACTGTTGTTTTTGTTTTGTTTTTACAGAGTTGCAGTCGTGTCAAAGTCATTCGAAGGACAGACGGACAAGACAGAAGAGTGGTACGGCACACAGTACAAACAAGAGGCCATCTCTGACGAGACCATCAAGGTGACTGACGGCGGTCATTGTGCGCCAGTTGTTTGACTCCAAATCTTTTCTGACTAGTTTTTTTTTGCTTGTCATGAGCGTGTGACACTGACTGCTGACCGTAAACCTGTGTTTCAGAAATGGGCAAATGCAGACCTCAACGGCAAGTTCAAATTACCCATGAAAAATGAGTTCATCCCTACAAACTTCGAGATCTACCCTCTTGAGAAAGACTCTCCTTCAGTCCCCACTTTAATCAAGGCAAGTGTTTGCTGCACAGCTCTGTCATCAAAGTGTTGTTAGTCTCCGTTGCCTAACTACGCTGGACGATCCCTGCTTCACTACATTTAGTTAAAAACATCTATTGCACTTTCATATGGAAATATAGTGTTGTGATTGAGACATCAAGCAGTTAGTAATTCTGTTACCACAACGTGAAGATTAGAGGAACTGAGCTATTAACAACAGCATACATATTCCCAATGCTGAAGGGAAGCCTGGAGAAGAACAACTGTGCCTTTTTCTTTTGTTGTTAAAAGACCTATCAACGTAGGATGTTAGTTATATGAACAAATGCACACTGTCTGCTGGTAGTGTGTTTGAAGTGTACTTTTGCTGACATTAAAGTTGTTATCGTTGCACAGAATGGACTTTGAATGAATATGAAAATGAGAGCTGCCTGTTTGGTTTTCATTCTTCCAGGACACTGCTATGAGCAAGGTGTGGTTCAAGCAGGATGACAAGTTCTTCCTGCCGAAGGCATGCCTGAACTTTGAGTTCTTCAGGTGCGTAATTGTCACGATTCGTAATTCAGCTGGAATCCAGGTACAGAGGAATTTATTTAACAGTCATCAGCCAGCAAAGTGAGAAAATAACTCCAATAGTATCCCAGTAGCAAAGTAAACCAAATATGAATGCATAGAGTGTGGAAATGCAACATAAACCTGAAACTGAATGCCATTCTACTCAAATTCTTTTGATCAGGTTAGCTTACTCCTTAATTAAGGTGGGTTTGCTGCTTCCTTCTTCAGTGTTGATATAATTTAGTGGGAGACATTCCAAGCACACAGTCTAACCAGGTAGCTTCTTCCAGTGCCACACAGAAGATAATACAATATAAAATAAGCTGGATCAGCTCGTACCCAGTCGTCATCAGCTGAAACCTTGCCAAACCCTTTTGGGTGGGACTGTAATGAGACGGTGTTAGTCTATTTTTGCGGTGAATACCTGTATTATTACACCCCTGTTGGCTACAATTAATAGTAATAAGTGTATAAACATGCACTGAACGGTATCTTCAGTTCTTATGAAAAAAATGTCAAGAGCGGTATCTGTAGTCTCTCTCGCTTTGTTTCTATGTATTGTGTGACCACTGCCATTTTCTCTACAGCCCGTTTGCGTATGTGGACCCATTGCATTGTAACATGGCATATTTATACCTGGAGCTCCTCAAGGACTCCCTCAACGAGTATGCATATGCAGCCGAGCTAGCTGGCTTGAACTATGACCTCCAAAATACCGTCTATGGGATGTATGTAAGTATTCAGAATCCCTCCCCATCGCCCTGACGCTGCATCCCAGACCTCACGGCCGCTACCCTTTATCATCCTCAGACTGGGCTGCTGTGGCTCAGACAGGCCTGGGTTGACAGGTAATATTAGTAACATTAACTATGTGACCAGATTGGAAGATTTTTAAAACACAGGATGATACAATAAATATAAAATTACAGAACAACAATTACAAACTGTATGCTATAGTTCATTGTTTGTGGATACTTGATATTTTGGGGCTAATGTTTGTGTGGTAACCCCAACCCATTCAGTAGAAATAATGTTTGGAGAAGCCTTGCAACCCAGACCTGGCTGGTCTAGCCTCTGTTCTATCTGCATCTTCCTCTTCATTTTTCATCGATCCTTTTTCCCCTGCTCATCCACCCCCCGCGAAACCCTCATGACTACCTAAGGGGTGTTCTATTTTCTCATATCAAACGGCAGTTCACTCACGCAGACATGGAATTAGCTGCCCACCTGTAACGAATAAATCGGGTGAAGCAGCGCTCAAACAACAAAACTGAGTTGATTTGAAGGTTGATCTGAAAACAGTGGTGGCATCAGTCGTCCGTAGAATAGATTTTGCCGATTGTTGCGGAACAGAAAGCTGGTCATGTGGCTGCATATACATACTCTCCTTATCATTCTTCTCATATGTGCATTGTCTTCTTTTATATTTTTTTAACCACCCCTCATTCCCAACAAACATGTTTTTGTTTATTTTGCTCTTTTTGTTTTGTTGTTGTTGTTTCTTCCTTCCATTAGTCGCTACCTTTATGCAGATCCCCTGCACTGCAACATGACCTACTTGTTACTCAGGTTACTGAAGGATGATTTAAAAGAGTATACATATGCAGCCCGCCTGGCCGGGCTGGTGTATGGCGTAGCCTCAGGGATGAATGCCATCCTCGTAAGTAAGCTGTTTGAAGTCTGGAGGGAAGTGGGGGCACCAATGAAGGGTCCACTCTGTGGCTTTACCAAAGTGAAATTGGCTTGGTTTTCTGCGCTCAGTTTGATTGTGTGAAGTGCTGTCCTGCCTGCCCGAAATGAAGGATTTATAAACACATCTGTTTGCAACTGCATTCCAGTCACACACCAACTTAACATCACTTGACTGAAGGATCGCTGCACACTGTCCTCTGAGAATGTTGTCAGACGCTTTACTGGCATTATATTTGTGCTTATGACTAAAATATTTAAGTCAAGGAAGATCTCCACAATATATTTAATCAGAGAGCACACATTTCCACACTTTCCTCTGGCTTGCCAGCATTTTCATCTCTAAGATTAGTGTGGAAATTATTTTAGTATTTCAAAAAATTCAATTTTACAACTTAACAATAAAACTGACAAATTTCAGACTTTGTGCAGACTTTCAGGAGAAATAGTTTCACTTCCAAACTCCATTCAAGTTAGGATATTTAAACGATAAATAAAGAAAAAATACTGCATATCACAATTTGACCTACTCTGTCTGTATAACAATATTTTTGCCTGCCATTCTTACATTTATTGTTAGTTTCATACAGACAGCAAATGGAAAAAACATCGCTGTCACAGACCACAATGGATAAAGCCAGTTGATGCAGATTCTCTGACATATTTATAGTCACGTTTCTGCTGATGCAAGTGCAATAAGGATGTTGGAAGTGGATCTGTATCCAGGGGGTTTGTCGTCATTAGGAGTGGCTCGCTCAGTCAGGCACAGATTTGTTCCCCAAATTTAATCCAGCAGTCTGCTCAACACTGTGCGTGTGTGTGTGTGAGTGTGTGTCTGTCTGTCTGCCTTTCAGAAATGTAATGTTACACTGCACACCTACCTGAATAAAGGTGGTTTGCAGTGGTGGTGTTTCGCTCTGTTCTTTCCGGCTTTCTAACTTCCACACTGGCACTCTGCAGCCTTTGTCATGACCTAGTAACCTGCATTCATTAGCTGCCTCTCACCAGTGAATTCATGACTGTGGTGTGTCCTTAGAGACGGCCATTCACCACACTGTCTGTGCAGCTGTGTGATGGGCTGGAGGTAATTGATTTGAGTCAGCAGTATCGGTGTGGCTGGCTGGCTGGCCGTTTGTCAAGGTTAATGATGTTAGGAGAGATTACTTTTAACAGGTGTCACTGCAGGGACTTGGGACGGGGACGGGGAGAGGCGAGCAATGGGATGAGTGTGAGAGCATAGCCATGTAGTAGGAGGCTTTGCTGAATCATGAAGGGCCAGAAGGTGTGCATGACACTGCAAAATGGAGACTTTAAATAACTTTGACTGTTCGGTCCATTTTTGAAAAAACTAATTTGCATAGAAACACCTCATCGTCAACCGCTGAGCTCTGTTCTGTCTCCCAGAGAGACTGTAGTTAAAAATACTTGTACCGTGTGAGATGAAATGATGCTGCTCATACAGCTTGTACTTGTGACCGACTGGAGTGAGTTGATGATGCCTCAGACCTTGTACATTGTTTTCACTAAGGGAATCCTTTTCAAATGTAGTTCATAGTTGTTGTTTTTTTTTGTTTTTAGCGCCTGAGGAGTGTACAAAGAAACAACCCCAGTCAGAGTTATTGAGCATCACAGTGGTAGTTCTTAAATTTTCTATGTTCACCAGGTTTTTCCTATCAGGCTCTGTCCCCTAAAATTGGTCATTTGCCGCTTCGTTTGACTCTTGTTTGCACAAACTGGATGGCGCAGCGCCTGCCTCAGTCAAGAGGAGCAGGTTGTTATAATAGAGAGCTATGCATATACACTATTTTACAGCAAGAAGTGCAGTTAGTGCCAATGATGCAAGAGAGGAATGCCAGTACAAACTTGTTAATCATGTAAGTGATTCTTTTATCACTTCTTGCACTCGCTGCACATCAGAGCTCTTCAACTTAAACTTCATATATTAAAACGTGATTCTCAGGAAGTGTATTTAGGTCTGACACTGTCCAATAATGGAGACGTGGAAACCACTTTGCTTTTTAACCAATCAAAGAGAAATTAATTAAATTGATTGCATGCTCTCTGTACTGAATACAAAGAAGGAGCAAACCTAAAAAACATTTATGCATTTTCTGTATCACCAACTGAATACATATAGCGTCTGATGACAGCACAACGCGTACAGTTTGTGATACTGTAACTGCACGGCTTCCTTTAGTGGCGGTACAGCTCAGCACATTTGCAAATATAACATATTCCCTCAGCTGAGAATCTGCATCGAGTATATAGGTAGAAAAAGTAATTGGTAAAAGGCTGCTGCTTCACAGAGCCCAAACTCTTATCAGGACCTCTTACAGAGCAGGTTAGCCGTGTAGCATCAGTTGCCATGGAGATTTAGCAGGTTAAAAGAGAGCCAACTTTGTGACTTTGAAAACTAGCTTTAGGCTCAACATACCTTGCTAACCAATTAATCTCGCTGCACAGTACACCCCTCTGCTGCATTATTCAGTCTGAGGTTTGTGTTGTTGCGAGGGTCTCAACCTGTGCAGCATTTTCTTGACTAATTACCACTAATTGCCGTATCACACATTAAAACAAATAGATACACCACAATCATGTGCTCACTGGTTAATGGGAGCTAATGAATGCAAAACGTTCAGATCAACACCTGAACCAAGTCGAGTTATCGTGTTTTTTTTTTCCTTCTGTCTGTTATGTACAACCTGTCTTGTGTCACTGTTTGCTGCAGCTGTCTGTTAAAGGCTACAATGACAAACAGCACATCCTGCTGAAGAAGATCATTGAGAAGATGGCCACCTTTGAGATCGATGAGAAGCGCTTTGACATCATCAAGGAGGCAGTAAGTTCTGACCGCTGCTCCATCACCGCTACAGAGTTATGAGACGTTCCATCAAACAAATCACTTTGCAGTTCCTTGAACACATAACTTGAACCCACAGATACTGAGAACCTTTTTCTTCTGCCCTACAACACAGTAGTTCTGATACTTTGCAGCAGTTTCACCTGATTCTTTTAGTTCTTGATAATGAACTGACTTCTCTCTCTCCCCACAGTACATGAGGTCTTTAAATAACTTCAGAGCAGAGCAGCCTCACCAGCACGCCATGTACTACCTCCGTCTTCTCATGACCGAGGTTGCTTGGACCAAAGATGAACTCAGAGAGGCTCTTGATGGTGAGATGTTGCTCGTAGTCTTTCTCTCTTTGCTTCTGTCTCAGAGAACCGGTACAAGTGCTTATTAGTCCACCTTCTACCAGAGTTCACGCATAGTCACGCCCTTCTTCCGGCTAGAGCTGAACTAGTCTTCATTATCATTCTGCTGTAGGAAAAAAAAAATGCTTTGGTTTGTTTGTGTTTCTCTGAACCACCCGCAGTTGTCTTGGGCGGAGCTAAGTGAAGGATGCAGCTTTGGTGTTCGCTCGAAATAGTGACGGGAGAGTTGGTTTGGTGGAACATTATCACGCAGGGAGGCGAGAACTGTGATTTAAATGGAAAAGTCAGTGGAGAACAAAACAACTAGCGGGGCGGCCTCACGGCATGATCCAAATCCTCGCCAAATTTTTTTGGTTGGTAGCATGGAGGTTATTGATGTTGTTTCCTGTAGTGAAGTGGATTTTGAAAATGGTGACACACAGTTCGTCTAAGGGGAGGAGAAATGTGTGAAACGCGTAGCCAATGGCAGCAAACATTTGGTGAGTCAGACGAGAATTGTAAACAAGTTTGGACAATATGATAGTTTTTTTTAAGTTATTTTTTTGCCTTTATTGGGTAGGACAGTCGAGAGAGAGAGAGAGACAGGAAAGTGGGGAGGAGAATGGGGAAGGGAGTTGCAGCAAAGGGCCATGAGTGGCATTCGAACTCATGGCTGCTGCATCGGGGACCATAGCCCCTGTACATGGGTCGCCTGCTCAACCAGGTGAGCTAAATGGCGGCCCTGTATTATAGTTTTATGAGGTTGTATAACACTGTAGCTGTCATGGCAAATATATGGCCATTGTTTGTTAATTAACAGGTGATTAGAAAAAAGTTCATAGACTTCCATCTTGGACTAAAGTTCCCAGGTGTTTACCTCACAGTTTAGAGAGGGTTGCTCCTCCTCTCTCCTCACCTTAGGTCCGTTTCTTCTCTTCTGTTTATCCTCATTTGAATGCTGATGCCGTTCTCCCGCAGATGCCTCCCTAGCTGCAGTCTTTCCTCTCTGCAGTGGCAGTCTGGAGCCTGAAGGGCATATTGTTATATTTTTACCATGGAGCTCACACAGATTCACATGAGACTCAATTAACCTGCGGGTTCGAGGGCCGGTAGCTCAGTCACCTGGGCCTCCAACTAGCACGACTCGTTCCCTTATCGGTGTTCTTACCTTCCTGTCATCTCCTGTCTGGGGTCTATGAGACGCTGTCAGTCTCCTGTTTCCTTCTGTGTTTGGTGTTGCCTTGGACAAACAATCATTTACATGGAGTGTATGTGTGTCTGCATGTCTTTGTGTGTGTTCCTGTTGTAGCTCATCCTTGAATCTGGGTCAGACGTTGCTTGAATTCAGATTGGCCAGCCCACATCGAGACAGACTTGATGTAACAGAAGTGTGATTTTTTATTTTTTTTAACCAGCTTGCATGACTGTCTAACATGTGACCACTGTTGTTTTTTATGTGATGAAAATGCGATATGACGAAATCCCCACTCACTCAGCAGCTATATTGTGTTTTTTTTGTGCGTGTGTGTGTGTTTTTTTTAGGGCTATTCAGTCTTAATAGCAGCTTGAGAAATTGCTCTTTGATTACTGTTGTTTGTGATCTGTATTCCAGATGTAACTCTCCCACGCCTCAAGGCCTTCATACCTCAGCTATTGTCACGGTTACATATTGAAGCCCTTCTCCATGGCAACATCACCAAGGAGGTTTGTTCAGCATCACTGTTTTTTTTTTCTTACCACCTTTGGGGAGTTAGAGTTTTGTTACCTCTTTGCTGTGATTGATTGCTAAATGTACAATCGTGCAGTTTCTCCATGAATATCAAATACGTCTTTTTGTTCTTGAGCAACATTTCATTCACCTTTTACTTGGTCCTACAATGGTGTCGCAGAGGTTTATTGTTAAAAAAAAATCTCTTAAAAGATCCTGCGATCGAATCACACTTCGTATGAGGTCGCTACAGTCGCAGCACCTGCCTTATGCCTTGTAATGATGACAGGGTCACAGTCTGGTGGAGGGAGAATTAGACTCACTAGTGGGAGCAGTGATCCATTTTGTCATCATCGAGCAACAACACAGACCTGCTTCTGTCACACCGGAGCGAGACTGGCAGAGACGTTTTGAGGCTCTATGATGGATGAGGAATCGGGTAATAATGTTTTCATGTGAAAAAATTGATTATTAATTATAGCAAAGCAGGTCAATTAGAAGGATGAGAAAAGACCGCTCAAAAACACCGATCAATCCCAACTCTAACAGATAGTACGATGACTGATGGCACACTGACGACGGTCATAACTCTTCTTGGTAACCTTTGTTCGTTTAACTTCATCCCATATACGCACTCCACATAAATGACCACTTTTCTGAGATATTTTACACGCTTATGGCTATTAAACTGGGTCAGTAAAAGCGCAGTAATAAAAAAGGCACAAACCCCATATGTTTGTGTTTTCACCACGAATGATGTTGCTTTTACTTAAGAAGAGATTTTGTGATATATCTGCTACTTAGATTTCAAGTCAAAATTGAATCAAAACTCACTTTTTCAAACTACTTTCTGTCAAATTAAAACAAATATGAAAGTGCCCACAGTGAGGTCTGCAGGTTACCAGGAGGAAAAACCTGTGTCTGATACTTTCACCCAGAGCCAACAGCTCTCCTATTATTTCCTCACAAAGTTTATAATACCGAGCTCTATCAGTGATTTAGTTTTATTAGTATGCTTATCAGTGGTATGAATGTTAAAGGTGGTGTTGCACTGGGCTAAATGATGCTGAGAGGTGTTTTGTATTTCCTGCTCACATACAAATGGGAGACAACAGAAAAAAAGCGTAAACTTTCTTAGTAGTTTTGCCAGAAAAGCTTGACTTCTTCAGGTCTCTAGAAGTCTACTGGAGGGATGGACGCCATTTTTTCTAAAGATATTCCCTCATTTACTGCTTTGATGACGGTGGTGGAGAGCTCTGTCCAACACGTCGGTGCAAAATCTCCCATAAGAGTTCAGTTAGGTTGAGATGTGGTGACTCTGAAGGCCGTAACACGTAATTCACATCATTTTCATCAAAGCACTCAATTACCCAAAGTGTCTCATCGTCATCCCGGATGAGACGACTCCCATCGGGACAGAAATGTTTCATCATGAGATGAAGGTAGTCACTCAAAACAACTTTTGTATTGATGTGCAGCGAACCTTCCCTCTAAGGGGACAAGTTGATCCAAACTATTCCAGCAAAATGTGTCCCACTGCAGACCAGAGTAACTGGATCCCCTCGCTGTAGGGGTCCAGCATTGAGGCCATACCATCCTCCTGGTGTACGCAGCGCATGCTCTCGCCCAACTGTCGAAATAATGATGAAGGATGACCACATCACTTCATTCCACATCCCTGTAGATCAGTGTCTGTATTTTTAGCACCACTGAGCTCTCACATGTGCATTCGTCTTTGTAATGAGGGGTTTATGCTCCTCCTATGAGATCCCTCTCCATGTACAATCGACTGTTCTTGCTGACAGTCTAATCACATCCTGCATTGACATTCTCACCTCAGGAAGACTTGCTCCTCGGTTTTCCATCGTACTAATGCACAAGCATCACGTCATCAAATGTCAGCCACTGTTTCTGCCCCTCTTATATCTTTCCCATAGATCTAAATTCAGCTCTCTGTTTCGTCAGTGTTCCTGTTCAAACACTGGCCACTTGAAGAGTCTTTGGGACTGACTGACCTGCCATCCATTCAACAATGAACCTTCTTTCTAAGTCATTTTTATGTTTTTCTCTTGCCGTCTTCATACAAATCTCCATCAGGATAGCCGGCTCAGTGTTTTTATTCATACCACAGAGCGTAATTGGATGTTAATTACTTAATTGTCCTGTGCAGTCCTCCTATGTGGAGGCATCTGCATTTGTTTCTCCACTCAGTGATTCAGGGTTTTCCTTGAATTTGTCACCTCTCTGTAAAGCAGGGTTGTAGACTAATTGTCGAACATCTCTAACGACTCTAAAACTGTAATTCAGCGCAGTGAAAAAAAGCAGCATAACGGCAAAGCTAAAACACATCAGTGATTAACTTCTGTGACTGTCAAAAATGAACGGACGCATCAGAAAAGTAGAGTTTATGGAAAAACAGCTGTTTTGGATTGCACTTGATTTTGCAGGTGTTCATAATGAAGCACGTGGCATGTTTAATTTTTTTGTTTTCTCCATGTTTTAGCACCGCAAGCAAACTTTCATTTGCCTTCTTAGTAATATCGTAGCAACGAAAGTCCCGTTGGTGACATCTCGTAACCTTCAAACTAAACCGGAGAGAGAGCAATGCAATACCCTTGTGTGCCATCAATTAGCAATACAAACTGAGAGGGAAAGGTGTTCAATGTCATTATAAGTTAGTTCTGGTCATGTAGAACCCACAGCCTAATTCAGCCAGTTGAAGATTTTGGGGGAATGTACATAAAAAAAAACTACTAATTGTAAAAGAAGCCAAGTTAAGGGGAAAAAGAAACAGGACAGGTTGAGAGTAAACTTACTGTTACTCAAGATTTTGTGGAGTAAAATGTTTTGTTTTCTTTCCTTTCTGTCGTCTCTCCAGTCCGCTCTTGGCATGATGCAAATGGTGGAGGACACGCTCATTGAGCACGCTCACACGAAGCCCCTCCTCCCGAGCCAGCTGATTCGCTACAGAGAGGTGCAGGTTCCAGACGGTAGGTCCTCCACTCCCTCCTCCTCCCCACACATCCCATACACACGCCAGTTAAGCTCTGTTAATCATCATCCAGCCAGTCATGGCCGTCTCCACAGCGACCGTGCAGAAGGGTCCTTACGCAGCGCTGTAGCTCTCGTCATCGGTGACGCCGTCTTGCGTTTGGAAAGATCTGATTAAATTCAACATCCCACGTTTACCTCAGAGGAACATAATGGTGACTGAGTGGAAATGGACGTCATTGCGGAAAAACACATACACACCTTCCTCCTCAGCAGCTCAAACAATGAACACACACACACGCAGTTCAAGGCACCTGTGCTGCCTTTCTGATTACATTAGGAAAGTCCAGTGATGTGGAGAAGAAAGCCAGAGCTGTGCAGGGCCACCTGGAGACATCCTGTGTCTCTGAGGGAGTTTCCAGGCTCGGATCCAGACTGCCAGTCAGACACAGAGCAGGAGTGCGGGAGAAGGACATACAGGATATAAGCACCAAATTGGCCTCTGAAATGACTGACTGAATGGCTGTCTATCCGGGAAACATGTTATTACTGTGACAGCTGAAAGCTTTAAAGCAGATAGTTCACATAAATCGGTCCAATTACACATCTGTCTGTGTTAAAGACACCATGTAATCCAAATGCAATTAGAAAGATAGCCCAATGTTCAAACACAATTTTTGAAGCCTTCATATTACTGTTAAATTGACTGACAGGACAACGACAAACACGAGAGAACAACTAAATGTACCGCTAAAGTTAGTGTTTAGTTTGATTGTAGCAAAGGCACATCTGTAATTTGCATGGTCAAGAAGTGATTGATTACACATTTAAAGCATTCATTTGTGCAGTTTTTCCTTGTGCAGTCAGAAAATGAGCAGCTTCACGTCTTGATATGCAGTATTTAAAGTGCCAGGGTTGTCTTTGAGTTGGCTAAAAGCTGCTTTATGCCACACTGACAGCTTGTTATTTCACACTAACAATCTGTGACAAAACAAAACATGCAAAGACAAAGTATGAAATGTCCACCGCTCACATTCGTGTTTTTGTTATTCAACCAGCGTCCCTGCTCAAAATGTTTGCCTGTTGCTTTTTATGTTTGCCAAGTAAAAGTTTGGACACATTGATAGGACTCTTAGGGGAGACGTGGAGGACTGTGGACGTAACACTCCCTGAGTGCAGAGCCAGAGTGCTCAGTCAGCATGTGCATAAAGGCACCTGCATTACCCAGCCTCAACTCGTCCTCCATTCAAAGTGAGCCTGATTACAATGGACTCATACAAACCGAAGCTGAGTGTAAAAGGAGCCAGGTTTCCCCTTGCTAGAATGGATGGCTCCTCTCCACGTTCTGCTCAAAAGAAAATTTGAAAGTAGAGATGAAAGGCTTGAGGAGACCAATTTGGAGCCACTCAGCAAAAAAGCACGATGTTGGCATTCAGTGGAACGTCTCCGCCTTTCTGGAGAGTGTCACCGCTGTCCTCTGTCTGAACTTTCCCATTTCAGCACTTATCTATGGCTTGAGCAACGCGCTGAGGTACAACTGCGCGCCTACAAACGACACGGCTTGTGTGTTTTTGCAGGCATCACTTTTGCAAGTTTCTTTACGCAGCGCCGAAAGACCTGATTATGCATCCAGGATTGGATTAAGTGAAGTTGTACAGCTAGGCCAGTGAAATTCATTTTGAGCTTATCTCAGTTCATGAATCACTGGATTTTGGGGTAATGAAAAGGATTCTACCTTAAACTACTTAAGCCGTGCTTTGCTTGCTCACTGCATTACATGCCAAGCTTAGTTTTCAACATATCTCAGCCTGGCCCAGTCATGTTTGACAGAATTACTTTTACAGGGTTTGTAATCTAAATTAAATCTGCACACGCATAGCACAGAGGAGAAATGTAAATTGTTATATTTTTCTTATACCTGTCCTGTAATCTGTTTTGTGTTAACAGACCTGAGCAGCACAATGAGGGATGGGATGGGAAATAGAAAAAGATAAAAGTATGGAATAGCTCGGTATATATGAGTTTGTTTTTTTTTTTTTTCTGTTTGTTTAGGATCTGCACCAAATACAGACAGACATACTAAATACGCGTCTTTGCTGTGGGATGTACTCGTCTTTAGCTGAACTAAAAAGTGAGAGCTGTTCGTTTTTCTCCAGCTCTGCTGTTTTTATACCTGGATGTCCGGAGACATTATGTTTTCAGGTTGTCCATCCGTCCCATTGCTGTGACCGCGACATCCCAGGAACACCTTGGAGAATTGAATTACGTCTGGCACAAACTTCCACGTGGACTTAAAGATAAACTGATGAGATTTTGGTTGTCAGAGGTCTCTGTGACCTCACAAAACACGGTTATTTGCTATGTTATGTCTAACAGGATAAAATGAAACAATGGCAGTTAATGTTCAAAGGGTCAACGTTACTGTGACATAATCAGTGTTCTATGAAAACACTTTCCTGTCAATGATTCAGCGCTTTAACTGTGTGAGGCATCCACATTATAGAAGTCGTAGCTTCATTGCACAGCATCCATATTTGAGACGTTACCTCCTGTCATGGCTGCAGCTTGGTGTTCTATCAGAATCAGTTTTATCGGTCAAACCTGTGAAGACATACAAGAAATAAGAATGAGTCGTTGTATTTGTGTGGGGGCTGCAAGGTGGAGCGGGGGTTAGCACAGTTGCCTTACAGCTAGAAGGTCACTGCGTCCCAGTGAGGATCTTTCTTCGTGGAGTCTCTATGTTCTCCCCGTGCAGCGTGGGTTCTCTCCAGGTTCTCCGGCTTCCTCCCTCAAGGTCCAAAAACATGTTGAGGTTAATTGGTGATTCTAAATTGTCCGTAGGTGTGAATGTGAGTGTGCTTGGTTGTCTGTCTCTAAGTGTAGCCCTGTGATAGACTGGTGACCTGTCCAGGGTGTCCCCTGCCTTCACCCTGAGTCAGCTGGGATAGACTCCAGCCCCCCATGACCCTAGTGAGGATTAAGTGGTGTATAGATGATGGATGGATGTACTTGTGTGCATCTTTCAAAAACACTCAATGACACCATATAAACCAATATGTGTCATAAGATGATAATAAAGCATCAAGAATACAATTGGAGTCAATACGACATACATTATAACAAATTACAGCTGAGGTGTGCTGTTCTAAATTCAAATATGTTTAAGTTGTGATTTGAACTGTGCAGTAAAGGATGTGTAGCAGGTCTAAAGTTGTGATGCAGAGCAGCTGAAGGCTCTGGCACACATGGAGTCTGAAACTACGCAGTTTACATCCATGTCTGTCCGCAGTCAGAAAATAAATGTAAGGACTTGAAAGCGTGCAAGTTTATTAAGAGAAACAAAGAACGGAGTCAGATTCACATATCATACGCCTCACATAAACCTTTCAGACCTTCTCCATCCCTACAACCTCTCCTGTGCCTTCCCCATTTCCCTCTGCTGCTCTGGACCGGTTGGCAGGGACGGCAATTCTAGTTTGTGTCAGCAATGCATCTGAGAGTGAACGTGTTTACTTTGTTATTACAGTGGTGGAAGAAAAACAAACCAATATTCTTCTGTTCCTCTCAGGTGGCTGGTATGTTTACCAGCAGAGGAATGAGGTGCACAACAATTGCGGCATTGAGATCTACTACCAGACCGACATGCAGACCACCCACGACAACATGCTGCTGGAGCTGTTCTGTCAGATCATCTCTGAGCCCTGCTTCAACACACTGAGAACCAAAGAACAGCTGGGTGAGCCACAGCACACTGATGGAGCGTATTCAAGATGTGTCGAGACAGGAACAAACTCAGGCGACTGTGTTAAATTTGCCTCTAAGATCTGGTAGTTATTCGTGATTTTTGTTTTTATTCTTCTGCTCGTAGCAATTAGAAATTATTCTATAATCACCAGAAAGCATATAAGTGAAGTTTTTAAAGTGCTATCAACCACGATGATGTTTAATAACTTTCGTATTAAATGGATTGTGCCTCTGAGTCGCATTCGCTTGGAAGTACTGCTGTAATAATAGTGCCAGAAAATTATATCAAGGCAAATACAGAGACAGAAAAAATGCAACTGAAGTTTTTTTTTTTTTTTTTTAATTATCCCCTTAAAAGCTGTACGTACATGGGTATTTGAAAATAAAGTTGATAGCTGGGAACAGAATGTGCTTTGAACAGTTTTTCTGCACAAACTAAGTTACCCCGCCTCCTGTTTCTGCTGAGCTCTGACATCCTCTCAACCCCTCCAGGCTACATCGTGTTCAGCGGGCCCCGGCGGGCTAACGGGGTGCAAGGCCTGCGCTTCATCATCCAGTCGGAGAAGGCGCCTCACTACCTGGAGAGCCGAGTGGAGGCCTTCCTCTGCACTATGGAGAAGGCCGTGGAGGAGATGAACGAGGAAGCCTTCCAGAAACACATCCAGGCCCTGGCCATCCGCCGTCTGGACAAGCCTAAGAAGCTGTCTGCTGAGTGTGCCAAGTACTGGGGAGAGATCATCTCCCAGCAGTATAATTTTGACAGAGGTGAGGCCTCCCTGCAGTCCTCTTCACCTCCCTGCTAACTGTTAATTATGTGTAGGTTTTAGGCCAGATGCAACCCTTCCTGATCCACCAGCTTGTGTAACAGAGAAAGGCGAAGGCGAGTTCTTGAGAGTTATCAATATGTCGGTCGATCCCAGAGGTGAGCAAGATGTTGCTTAGAGCTGCACAAATTGGGATCGATTAAAGCCTGAAATAATCTGCAGCCATAGCACAGCGCTGCCTTGCAGCACTCTCCTGAGTGCAGTAATGGATTGTAATGGGCCTGATTCACTAGTAATCTGCCTAAAGCCCTGAGTGATGGCAACGTTGAAAGGCTGCTAAGGGAGTGGTGGTGATTACTGATACTAGCAAAGTTAGAGGAGGGGCGCGTCAGGAGAACGAGGCCAGCTAGCATGCTCAATGCCAAGGACACAGAAAAACATACGACACTCTGTACATAAGAGTTTACACACAGTCTGCGCCATGGAAGAACGTAGAGAAGCTGTTGTTAGTTTCTCTTTGCTTGTTTCTGTAATCATGTTGTACAATTAGTGTAAAAAGATTCATTTTTTTTTCCCCATTTTCAAAGCTTTGGTTTACTGAACAGCTGGGCAGGAGACACTTTACTGGCTCTTGGTGAATGTTGTTGTTGGTGCAATGCTTAACAATCAAACGCAAGACAAATAAGTGAAAAATTTACATCATGAATATTACATTGAGTAAATCAGATGATTCAACAAGCAGCACGCTAATATGAGACATTTTATCAGACACCTGCTGCTTTCAGTTGCCGTATGATGCTGCAATAAACCCTCGGTCTGAATTAGCCGACTTACTTTCACTATGATGGATCACTCTTCATTTTCAAATCATACTGACATGAAGTGAAACTGTCCTCCTGCGTGGTCGGTGGTAATGTCAAGTGTAATGGAGTTGTAGCATGTTGGCTTAAAGCTAACGAGATGGGCTCTCTGAAAGCCACTTAGCAGGTTTTAAGGACTACAGTGATGTGAACTCTTCTTGTGTTGCAGATAACATTGAAGTAGCATATCTGAAGACTTTGACGAAAGAAAACATAATGAACTTCTACAGGGTAAGTAGTTTATGACTGTATGTCGTGTGATGCCTCTAACTTTATCTGACAGACGGTGAGCAGTGACGCGACCTCCTGTCCCCCAGTCCCTCTGTGCTGCTGCTCAAACTGACGCCTCTGTTCTTGGCTTTTTACAGTCAACTCACAATTTGTACAGACTGATTTAGTTTAGTGGCTTTCTTTTTAAATAAGGAGCTCCAATATTTGAATCCTCACATGTTCTGCAGTTGAAACCATAAATATCAAACAAATTGGAGCCGAAGAATTGTAGCTTATTATCTAACGAGGAAATTATGACATATTACAACAAATGAAGATAAAACAACTCCCTGGGTGCATTTCCTCCCCAAACTGCCCATGTTTTATGTGAACAGCTTTAAATTATGAGGCTCATTTGACTTTAATTGCGGTACTTTGCGGCTGTGGGTGATGCCGTACCGACAGCAGAGGCGTCATTAGGAGGCGGCTACTTAAATTACAACAATAAGCCCTCATTTTATGGCTCTGTCAGGGTCTATCAACCACTGGTAAATGCACATTTGAACTGTCTCACGATGAAATACACACAATTCATCCGTTGTTAATTTTTGATGACTTTTTAAATGGCACCGCTGTAAACCTTTGAGAAATTCTCAGCTAACCTGATGCATACTACTGATCATCATATAAACTGACAAGAAGTGGATTCCAGCGTAAAAGACATCTGGGTCATGCAGGCAACCAGAAATCTGTCAGGTGGGACTGAACATTTTCATTTAGCAGGTCTGTCCGAGAGGTAGAAATGAAAAAACAGACACATTATACGACACACAATGTTCTTCAAGCTCACATGGGGGTGGTTCTGACTGATTTTGGCAAGTTAACGGTGGCAGCAGGTTAACTGATGGACGATAAAGTTCATTCATGAGAGAAAGTCACAAAAGCGAGGACTTCTTCATTTCAGGGTACAGCAGCAGGGCATGTGTGTTACTATCATCTTTAATTTGCATCTGTTAAAGTCTGGCTTCAACATTTCCTTTCTCAGATCCAGAGTTACTATTCCCAAATATAAAAAACAACAAAAACCTCACTCAGCTTGCACTGCTCTGCTTTCTCCACCTGCACAAGGAAAGAGCCAAACAGAGCAAAGCAGACTGGAAGATGATTGTGTTTCCTATTTATTTAGGTGAATAAGACTTTAGTGTGGTTTATTTGACTTTTTCTAACTAATTCTTGGTAAGCATGGGTCTAGATGCTTCTCTGTGCCCAGCCACCAAGTAGCAGGTGTTATGGGAACGTTGGTAAATTGTATCAACCAATGCATACGAGGCATTTATGGAAACTCCTTAAATCGCAGGACTTGCCAATAGACTGTCTGTGAGACGTTCACGAGACATTTGTATTTGTAGGAATTGTAGAAAACAACCCAAGTCCCACTCTGCTTCTAAACAGAGTCTCCACAAGCTAATTCTCGACCTGTGAGAAACGATGAGATAACAGCCAATGTTATGCTCTGTATTTATTGCAAAGAGTGCAGCCGAAGCATGGCTGGAAACGGTGCTGTTGATGAGGAAGTTTTGAGATTCCAAAATGTTAAATAAAGAAACTCGTCCTGTGCGATAACAGCAGAGCAGTCCCTCGTACCACGGCAGCTACCTGAAGCAGTGAGGACTCAGACATGACTGAATGAATACAGTTTAAGTTTTAAGTCCTAGATCAGGGGTGTCGAACTCTGGTCCTCGAGGGCCGCAATCCTGCATGTTTTAGATGTTTCCCTCTTCCAACACACCTGATTTAAATGATCAGCTCATCATCAAGCTCTGCAGAAGCCTGATAACGATCCTGATCATTTGAATCAGGTGTGTTGGAAGAGGGAAACATCTAAAACATGCAGGATTGCGGCCCTCGAGGACCGGAGTTCAACACCACTGTCCTAGATGATGCTGATGAAAACGATCAGGCTGCATTTACAAAACATTTACCTGCAGCTTTGTTGCGGTTTCCAATCACTTGCATAATGTGTTAAGACATTGCCAGTGTGTATGGAAACAGACAAAAACTGTAAATGGTCACTTATGTAGCGCTTTCCCAAAGCTCTTTACAATGTGTTTCTCATTCACCCATTCACGCACACATTCATGCACCAATGGTGACAGAGCTGCCATGCAAGGTGCTGCCTGCCATTGGGAGCAACTTCAGGTTCAGTGTCTTGCCAAAGGACACTTTGACTGTGGAGGATCAAACCGCCAACCTTGCGACTGGGGGACAACCCGCTCTACCACCAGAGCCACAGCCGCCTGTAATACTTCATGTGTTGTTCAGCACCAAACTGCATGGTGCAACTAATGTAAACACTTAGTCTGGAGCTGCTAATTATCAGACATACAGCCTTACAAGGCAATAATCAGTGTGATTATTTATGTATATTTGCACTACCTGCTACACTCCTGTGTCAGACAAAATGGCCCAGTAACAACACTGCAACCACAAGGTCCACCTTCTAGCCCAGTTGTCATGGAAGCCATATTTTTTTTTCCCTGAGCAGTAAAAGGACTTTTTCACCCCTGCTGGCTTCAAGCTACAGTTCAAAAAAAGAACAATTAAAACTAGAAATGTGAACATCTTGAGGTCCGTTCCAGCTGCACCTGCTGTTGAGCGCCATGTGGGATGGTTGAAGCCTCCAGAGTACAATTAAATAGACCTGCATGAACACCTGGATGACGACGGAGGCTGTGTTCACTGCATGCACGGACACGGATGGGCTTTCTTTGTTCATGCATTAATTGAGACGTTGTAATATAATTGTATCAGTGGGTAGATGGGGATCAGAAACTGTTTAGAAAGTACAGAATTTTCAGACAACATAAGAAAGCTTGTGTGAGCCAATAATAGAGCTCGAATGTAGAATCGTGTTCCGTCTGTAGCTACCAGAGCTGTGTAGTGTCTGTCAGGTCGGTTACACAGCAGTGAAAGGACGGTCATCGCATTTTTGATTAAAGAACATTATTGGTCCAATATACTGCACCGCCTTCTCTGAATCTATTTGTGTGTGTGTGTGTGCAGATACACATGGTTCTCCTGGGTTCAGTCTGCCCTCCTAGCTTTCATCTCCTCCGGCCTCCTGCTTCTATTCATAGCCGTGGAGGTGACACTGACACAGGACGCTCACAGCATATCAGCTGCCATAATGACAGCCAGCCAGCCTGTTTCAAAGGGGATAAAGGGGCAAAAGACACACGGCCGCAGAAAGAATTGGCATTATCTCAGCCCAGCAGAAACCATTACAGCCCCCATGCAGAATAAACCTAATGCATTTCTAATGTCGTATCAGCAGCAATCGCAGAGGCTTCTTCTTTTCTTTTCTTTTCTTTTCTTTTTTTTTATTATTTCATTTTTGGTTGCCTGAGTTGACGCAGTCTGACTGCAGACGAGCCAAATCTTCAGTCTAATATAATCCTCCATCCAGAGACAGTGATGAGGCCCGACTGCGGAGCTAAATCTCCACAGGGCTGTCACAACTGATCCCAGACTCGACGGGAGAAACACGCGGCCATCCGGGCCCTGTCGAGCCGCTTCCTCTGTGGGAGCAACACTTTCACAAAACGTGTTTAACTCAGCGATGAGTCATTCCATTATGTTTCCCCCAGAACTGAATGTGAGCATTTAAATAATGAAACAAAGGGATTAGGTTATGCTAATGAGGCGTCGCCCCACCTGTCTGCGTCTGTCTCCGCAGGAACGGCTGACGGTCGAAGCCCCGAAGAGACACAAGGTGTCCGTGCACGTCCTCTCCAGAGAGATGGACTCCTGTGAGTATCTGTACATACGTGATGGCTGCACAGGCTTCATTTACTCTCTCCTTGACTTGTGTGTTTGTGTATGTGTGGACCAGGTCCCATCGTGGGCGAGTTCCCTGCTCAGAACGATGTCAACCTGGCCCCCGCTCCTTCCCTGCCACAGGTAATCATCACTGTCTTTGTTTAAACTGCTCTATTTGTTAACCTGACTGTTTCCTACGACTGACATCCATCAACTTCAATCAGATTTTTTTTTACTTGAATTTACAGCAGGCCAATTAAGAGGTAGAGTAAAATAAAGGTCAAATCCTACAGTTCCTGCAGCATGACTTTAGTATCTTCACATGGCTAATCGGGATTTATCAGTTTTAATTTTGTGTCGAAAAAAATCATTTAGAGGCCATATTGTCAACAAATCACATGACAAAACAACGATGGATTGATTCTGTTAACACGTTCCACCTGTTTCTGGAGCTCCATGTACTTTGTTCCTTAATCAGTTAAATTCCCCCAAACTACTAAACACATCACTGTTGGACTGACTCCTTCAGGACTCATAAATACTGACTAAATATTGACCATTTCACAGCTGACAGTGGTACCAAACACATCTGATTTCATACTCTGCTCTTTTATGACGTTTCTGAGCCTTAAAATAAGTGTGTATATCTGTGATGTCCCTAATAGGAGCCAATTCATTTGAAGCCGGCTGTTACAGAAAGAAAATCAGTATTTTATTCCACCACCTTCTGCTGGTGGCAGAGTTAATCGGCCAAAAAGCTGGACCTGAGAAAAGGGCAGATTTGTTGTTGTTATGTTTGATGAAGTGCTTTAAGCAGACAAAGACAATTTTACAGCAGCTGTTGCTGGTATCGGCACTTCTGCCAAGTTAAGCTCGTATGATTCCTTCTACATGTGAGTCCACAAGGGTCTGCTAGGGTCCAGATGATGTCAGTTTTGTCGTCTCCCTACGCCTGCCAGAGTCCTCTACAGCGTCTACGCTACAAGGGCAATAGTGCACAGCAGTAGTGTGCATGCACGGAGGAGGTAGTTATGGCGTACTGCATGAGTGGACTCCAGTGGACTAGCAGTAGTATAATATTCTGCACCCATGGTGTCCACAGCTGTTGATTTTCACATCTTCAAGGGAGCATAATAAAGGCTTCAGAAGCTACTAGAAGACTCACTGAGGCCCGTTCATGCTTACAGTCAGGATGCCGGTTCTGTCATCTAGTCAAGTGGAAGTCCACATGCCGCCCAAAATTTCTGACCGTGTGGACTGAGCAGGCTCACTGCACAGCTGCCTGGAGAACAAAGCCAGTGTTTGCTATGAAGAGAGACTCCTTCATCCACACCTTTATAATTCATCAATGAAAGAGCTGTAGTAGTCACCGCCATCTGCTGTCTACTGTTGAGGGGCTTTGATGTGTACTTGATGTCCCTTTAGTGGTGCCCAAACACAGCAGGAAGTTCTAAGTTCTCCAATAATCCTGTGCCATGTCCGCCCACTGTGCTCGCCACACCAGTCAGTGACACGATGCTACAGCCCAGTCTGTAACCAGCTGCTGTATTCTGGAAAAAAGTGCAGTCAGCCATATAGAAACGTGCAAAGGTGCGTTTTTCTGTGGCTGTGTCCGAAATCACCCACTCACTCCCTACTCCCTATGTAGGGACCACTAGGTAGGGGGCGCATCGGCACAGTAACATTTCAGACACTACTCGAGCTGTTAAGTCGCTTGCTAGCCGTGATTTGTGATTTACAGGTAATTACATTGCTTGGTAGTCAGTAAACTCAACAATACGACCTAATTACTCAAAGTTTAACGAGGAGATTGCGCGCTGTCACTCGTCTCGTTCTTCTACGTGCAGTGCCAAATTTTTATTATTTTAATAAATAACTATTTAAGTAAAGTCTGGCGTGATCGGCAGGAGCAACAGTCAACTACAGTCTGTTGGATTTTAAGCTTGAAGGTGGTGAACGGAGTCAGAGTCTGAGAGTGTTTTGTACGGTGTTCCAGACGTTAGCTGCTGCAAAGGAGTTACAGCAAGCAAAAAAAAAAGTAGAGGTATTAGGGATGATGATGTATTCACTAGACCTGGTATGATAAGGATTATGGGCGACGTGAAGAAGAGAGGACAGGCAGGGAGGTGTCTGGCCAGAATTGATTTGTAAATGGAATGAAACCAGCGGTGAAGAGTATGAAGGGAAGGTCACCTCACCGACCTGTAGAGGCCACAGTGGTGAGTGTGGAAGGGAGCGTTAGTGGCAAAGAGAGTGATAGAGAGTGTCCAGTTTGTAAATGATGTCACCATAGTCCAGAATCGGGAGTGTTGTCATGGTGACGAGGGTGTGTTTAGCAGCATGAGTGAAGGAGGCTTTGTTGCAGAAGAGGAAGTCTGGTTTAGTCTGAAGACTGTTGAGATGATGGTCAGTGAGGGACCACTGGCTGGACACTACTTTTCACGGTGCATTGTGGGATATTTTGGGTGCACTATATAGGATGTAACATGTGTAACTTAACATTCTGACAGCGCTGGATGATGGTGAACCCCCCGTATGCTGCACTATGTAGGATGTAGTGAGTGATTTCAGACCGCATAGCAAACCGGCTGCCCACAACAGAGGCTAAAGGTTGATGTCTGAGTGGGAATGAAAGAATGAAACTTGAATTCTTCTTTTTTTTCTCCCCCCCACAGCCCACGGTGGTTCAGGACATGACGGAGTTCAAGAGGAGCCTGCCTCTGTTCCCCCTGGTCAAGCCCCACATCAACTTCATGGCTGCCAAACTGTGAGCGAGGCTGGCAGGTCGACACACGGCGGCGGCACGAGGGGGCTGGACGCCGGGGAGGGACCCCCACCCCCCGCTCTGTTTATTCCCCACACCCATACCCCTCCACCCCCTCCTCTCCTTCCCCCTCCTCCCCCCCATCAGGAAGAATTCGATCGGACTGAGCCTGCATGAGTGTGTGTGTTTGTTTGCGCGGGTGCATGTGAATGTGTGCGGCAGGCCGGAGCCACTAGAAGAGATGCTCGGAAACAAATTCGAAATCACAAAAAGTTTAGCTGAGACCGTGGACGTAGCCGTGGTAACGATAGAGGTCACCTCATGTTAAAAGTCTCTACAAGGAGATGCAACACTCACGCGCATCACAATACTGTGTAGGCTGTTGTAGAAGAACTAGAAAACAACTTTAAAAAAAACAAGACAAGGGGCCAGATCCCTGTTAACAAGTGTACTGCAGAAGCTTCACAGTAGGAGGCGTTTTCTTTGAATTATTCAGACATGCTGCTTTGAGGAATGGATAGCAGGTTTATTGTGATGAACTGGGGGCTGTAGAGGGTAAAGACAGTCGCTCCACGAAGGTCTTCTCTTTTATTATTCGTTGGACTGCATCTCTCAGAGGCACCGCAGCTCTCCTGACGACGTTATCACAATAGATGCACTCGCTCAAACGGAATATTTTATTCAAATTTATGCATTTCTAAAGCCTTATAATTCTGGTTTTAATCCCTGCATGTTTGGAAATGTTTTTGCCTGTACACTGGTAAAATGTTGGGACCCTTTGAGGAGCTGTTTTAAATCACTAACCACAGAACCACGAAAATTTTTAAACTTTTTTTTTTTTTTTATTATGATTGCGTTTTACAGTAGTATGTAATTCAGACATCTCAGGGGTACCTCCATGCTGTTTTATTTTTATCATTCAGTTTTATTAGTTATTAAAATAAAAAACACTTTCATTGGTTTTGTCATTTCCACTCGTACTTTGTTCACGTCGCAAATCTGATCAAATCCTGAAAACTCAAAGGAGTTGTAGAGATAAAACAAGACTTTATTTTTTTTTGGAAGCTCTGGGGACGTCTTTGAGACTCAGTGTCTGCATGTGAAACTTCCTGAAGCTTGTGCCTTTCCTGGGGGGGGGGTCGTCGGTTAGTTTGTATGATTCAGGGCAAAAATCCTGGAGGATTTAAACCCCCCCTAAATAGTTGGATGTGCACTGGCTCTTACTGCGTAGATGTCAAACAAAGCAGCTAGCCGCCTTCTTCTCTGAAAAACATTTCATGATGATGTCTAAAAAAACAATGGAGGGGGGAGTTTGAGGAAAGCTCCAGTTGGGACTTTTATTTTTCTGAATATATGCACTTCTCTCACTAAAGCAATAAACTTAATGTGGTGGACAGGGAACAGTGAGACGTGGCTCCAGCAGAGGACTGTGTTGGCGGCCGGGGCGTTGGTGGTGATGTCAGCGTCATGCAAGCGTGACCTGCTCTCTCAGGTGCTAACCAGCTTCGCAGAGTTAAAACCGCTGCTGGTGGAGCTGCCAACCGCTCTGTTCAAACAGCCAAAAATCACTGTTTTTATTTTATTCCCCTCCTCCCTTCTCCTCCTCCTCTCTCTACCTGCTCCAGGCCCGGCTCATCGCTCGCTCACACGTTTAAGGGTTTCGTACAGATAAAAGGTTAAAGGGTGTGATTGTGCTGCATCCAAAGCTTCTTCAATGTTTTCCAGCATTTTACTACGTCTCAAAAACCATTTCAACTTTTTAGATTTCAAACGAGGCCCCGCTTCATTAACTGCTACTGTGTTAGAAGGCACTATTTCCTCGTGGTCAAAACCCAAAGACAACCAGCAGCAGCAGCAGCAGATCTTAGGTCGTCCTTCACTCCCACAGGCAGTAGCTCCACAGCGTTTGGGAGGCAGTGACCAAGCAGTTTTCACAGCATTCTAGAAACATTACATATCAGGCTTGGGCGGGCCGTGCACTGTTTACCTTGTGAAGTACTTAGTGAGTGGTTTACATTTAGGGAAAAAAAAAAAAAAATCAAGCTTTTTATTTTGAATTCTGGATGTATTTAGCAACACATAAGACTGTGATTGGCTGGTTGGGTTCATGGGCTGGTGAAGAGTGCTGGTATTTTGAGTTTTTTGTCTCCTGTGTGTTTCTAATGAATAAAACAACTGAATAGAAGCGTTTGTGTTTTCCATCCCTGCAGTCTCGACACGTGCAACGTTTTTTTGGAAAAATACATTTATTCACAGAACTGATACCATAGAAGTCAGAAGCAACGTGTGTACAACACAGTTCACACTTTCACGTCTGTTTTGGCAGAGTGGAGATACACCGGGGAATGGGAGGGGAAAGCTGTGGCTCGCGGGTGGTAGGAGGACGCCTGGAAAGCGGGCACGGTTTTACATGTGCAGGTTAAATATCCCAAGTAGTCGGCTGTGCGTTGTGCCGTTTCACAGAACAGAGATCCTCGTATCAACAGCAAGTTATGGGTTGTTTCTAAGTTTGGGAAAAATGGCAACAATCACATCCCAGTGATTTAAAACAAAAGTGGCGTCAGTCAGTTCACTCGATGCAACGAGCCTTATCTTCACACTGGCCTCTCGTACACACAGTTTAGTTTGTCCGGATTGTGAGTTCCAGCTTCAACACGTTCTTCTGTTGTATTAAGAGAATTTAAATATTAGAGTCCACCTTCATTGTACCGAAGAAATGCTCCTAAATCACAATTCCAGTTCAATAAAATCTCATAGTGTTGGAGTGAAAACACGCTCAGGCTACGTACCACGTAAGCAGGAAAATATGGCTCGTTTGTGTGAACTGACCCTTTAATTTCCACACAGAGTCCAACCAGAAGTCTCAGCTGCTCCTATGACTCGCTTTCAATTTTGTCTGCATGGTAATTAGCACAGAACCACAGTCTGACCTGAGCTATGGTTCACACACAACACAAAAGTCCCATCATCATCATCATCATCATCATCGTCGTTGTGCTGGTGGAGGGAAGAGAAAAGCTGAACTGTAAAATAAAACTGACAGCAAAAAAGTCCAACCACCTCCCAGTGAGAAGTGCTGCGATGACCGTCATGTGAAAAACATCTGTCTCATCCGCGCGTCATGGCAACGGGCTCGACCAATCCCGGAGCGCTGCGACAGGAGAGTGTTTTGTAAAGTGGAAAAAAAAAAAAGGGACAGGTGAATCCTGAACACTGCAGAGGCATGTGATGTGATGTGAATGGTGGAAAAAAGAAGAAAATCAGGGTCTAAAACACACACCTGTGATTCAACTGGTCATCTGGTCAGTGTGCTCGGTTCTACGTGGTTAGCTTTAGTGTCACGACAAAGTTTCCTCTAAATGCTTCCTAGTCGTTTGCATTAATATTCACAAATGTTACGCACGTTTAATCGTTTAATACATTCCACCCACTGAACAGAAATCCTCGTTCGATATGAACCCCCGACGGGACGTTCTCACAAAATAAACATTATAAAACAATCGTTTATTGTTATTATAAAACTTTCTAATTACACATGCCCCGCATTTCTCTCTCTCTCTCTCTCTCTTTAAAATATAGTAAGTTTACAATAAGTATTAGTTATGTGATTGTTGAAGCACATCCACCCTGTCGCTCGTCACACACACAGTTCTTGGTAAAACAGTGTGTGTGTTGACGTGTGTGTTAACTGCACGCTGGCTGCAAACATGCTCCGGAAGTCCGTCTTCACCTTACGAAAGCGTCGCGAGTTTTTAAAAAAAGACAACAGCGTGTGGCGGCGGTGGGGATCCGTGATGTTGGCGACGGTGTGATGAACTACTCCGGAGTGGGTGAGAAGGGGGTGAGGTCAGGGGGGGAGGAGGAGGAGGAGTAGGTAATGAGGGTGATTCTCAGTCTGGTTCACCAGCGTGTCCTGCTCAGTTCAAACCCTCGCCTCCCTCCCTCCCTCCCTCCCTCCAGCAGAGGTGTGCGCTTCATCCGTCCTCCCTGTGGACGGCTGGGCCTCCTCAGGCCTCCTCCTGCTCGGGGAAATTGAGGATCTTGCGGTGGGCTTGCCTCAGGTACTGCTGCTGTTTGAAGTACACCTTAAACGCCCCCTTGATGGCCACAAAGGCGATACCTCCCTGTAGGAGGAACGGGAAAAAAAAACATCAGTGTGTGTTGAAAGAGAGCTTAAAGACAGATTCAGCTCAACACATCAAAGCTCTCCCCACCGCTGGCTTAAAGAAGATCTGCTTTAATTTCACGCCGACTATCAGGCACATGACAGCGCCCACCGCCTCAGACGCGCTAACACAGGGGCCATGCTTGTTTCCTGTTCTGCTGTGAGCACCGAACTCCAGAAAACACTGACAATAGTGCTTCTGGCATATGTTGGTTTAGTTGAACAGTGAGGAGAGTTTCTGACGTCGTGACGAGGAGCAGCCTTAAAAACCTGAAAGAGGAATCTGGCTGGTTCAGTGTTCCGACGGTTTTATTTGATTCAGAGCTTTTACAATGTTCTGATTGTTTCTCACAGGAACGTGTGGATTTTTGTGGAACTGTTGGTCTAATAATCAGCGAGTCAGTTGATGGTAACTTCCTCTAATAACTGATCAACGGTGCAGCAAAACCTGGAGTCGCTGAATAAAGCTAGCGTCTTAAATTTGCTGATTTTTTTGTGTTTTCAAAGAATTCAAATGAAAATGGTCAAAACAAGTCATTTGAAGGCTTCACAGTTTCTGTATCCCCACACGCTGACTGATGACGACTGCTAAGGTGGATAGTGGCCCATCGACACCTGCTGTTGTTTCAGAAAGACTAACTTCTCACAGAATATAGCAGCAGGGTACAGACTGGGGGCTGCAAGGTGGTTCAGTGGTTAGCACTGTCACCTCGCAGCTCGAAGGTCACTGGTTCGTGACCCAGTGAGAACATCCGGGATCTTACTGTGTGGAGTTTACATGTTCTCCCCGTGCAGTGTGGGTTCTCTCCGGGTTCTCCAGCTTCCTCCCACACAGTCCAAAAACATGTTGAGGTTAATTGGTGATTCTAAATTATCTGTAGGTGTGAATGTGAGTGTGCTTGGTTGTCTGTCTCTAAGTGTAGCCCTGTGATAGACTGGTTACCTGTCCAGGGTGTCTCCTGCCTTCACCCTGAGTCAGCTGGGATAGACTCCAGCCCCCCATGACCCTAATGAGGATTAAGTGGCGTATAGATAATAGATGGATGGATGGTACAGACTGGGCTGTATACCATGTCTATGTGATTAATTCTCACGTTCAGTTTGAGCTGCAATGTGTATTTCCACCTTTTCTGAGGCATTTAAATCAATATTTGACAGATTAAGTGGTGATGCAAACTAATCTTTACAGTGTTAAGTTCATTTAGAAGAAACAACATTTACAACTGATAGTTCTGTGAAAACTGAAACAGAACTAAAATAGAACTAGAAGGTGAAGAGAAGCCAGAAATGTTCACTTCAATTACACTCCTGCTTTGAGTTCAAATCTAGGCTTAAAATGTTCCTCTGTGCGTTGAGACATGTTGTAGAAGAAAAAAAACAACACGACAGAAAACCTGTTGGACCTCGTTCTAAAACCTTAAATATGCAAATCTACAAAGTGCAGTGAAAAAGCTCAGATTGTTCCTGCTGCACAAGTCATGCAGCAGCAGCCGTACATGTCATGTGTCAGGATTCTGTCTGACCAGGAACTGTGATTTCTGACCACTGACAAGTTGTGATTTCACTGGATGATCCGAGCTTTATGTGGATCATTAATGGTAACAAGAGTCGAGTCTACTGCAGCTTTCATAAGTGGACGAGGAGCACCGTGAGTCAGTCATCCAGGGTCGGACTGTGAAGGCAGAGTGCTGCTGTGACCCCGTTCACTGGTCTGAGGGAGAACATGAGCAGAACTGTGACTCGTTAGCATGAAGTTGCTCCGATACGTTGTATGTACGTTCTCAGCACAGTGATTATGCACAGATTTCTTTGGGCTGTAACACCACAACAGCTCATAAGACGTAGCTCTGTGCGGCTTTCTGCTTCAAGATGAAATTCTAGTTTAACGCAGATGGTCTCTGATGCGCTTAAAGAACTGGACCTTTGGGTAGGACGCAGGAGCACCGTATCAATGCACAAGGCACAGACACATCTACATCACGATCACAGTTTTACTTTTTAAGACACCGACTCTGAACTTCTTGATCACACCTTTTATCAAACTAAGATGAAGCTCGTTCGCTCGCTCTCGTTCATGTGCACGTGAAAGTATAACAACAAAGATTTCCGTTGGTGGCAGCAGCCTGTGTCAGACGGGGCAGCAGATGAGGACAAAGTGTTCAGTGTATCCCAGATCACATGAGTCACTCTGGCTCCCCGTCTGTCCTCAGCACAAGGTTTCTCCTACGTATGAACCGCTCATATGCTGCACAGTTCACCCAAGTTAAAGCCCAGTCATTTATTCAGTAGTGAGACAAAACAAAAAGGAGATTAGCTCACCAAAGTCCCCACAGATTTATTTACATTTATATACTGGAATCAATCACTCGTGCTGTGATGATCACTAAAGAAGCTTCTATTTAAACTCCTTCCTGAGAGTTTTCTGATGATTCTGCTCGTTACCCACCAGGATGGTCCTCTGCAGGTTGGAGTTGACGCTGCTGAACATGAGCTTCCCCACGATGGTGGCGATGGTGGGGAAGACCAGGGCGCCGCACAGGATCCGTGTGGCCGACACGTGATCCGCCAGGGGGCTGGCCTCCGCCGGGATCCGGGGAACTGGGCAGCCAATCCCTGCAGACACACACAGGGGGCAGCGGCGTGAAGCCAGATCAAACATTCATTTTGTTTGTAGACTAAAAGTGATCTGGGCAGGGAGTCATTGGGTCAGAGCCTGAGGCTTATTCATCTGTGTTTACAACTCTGATGAAATGAGCACAGGCCGACGGCAGCAAAAGTTCCTGTGATGGATGAACCGTTACTGCAGAAGATGGGTCATGAACAGCCCTCATGCACTGTTTAAAACCTGTTCTGTATCAGAGGGTTGTGGTAACTTAGACTCATTGTCTGCATCCATTCTGTAACATTCTCTAGTCAACAAACACACTGATGACACTGACAAAACCCTCTTTTCTACTGCCTGGATGTCTTGTAATCTGAATAAGGTCAAACAAAAGCCTGAAGACGAGCGACTTCAACTCATTTTAAACAAAAAAAGTCTGAAAGGTACAAACATTGTGCACCGACCTGGGAAGATGCTGTTGAGAATCTGCAGTTTGTTTGAATACTTCCTCCACAGACGCAGGACGTAGTCCTCCCAGCGGATCATCTTGCCGAGGATGAGCATGACAGGGATGGTGGGCAGCCCAATGAGCAGGAACAGAGGGTCGGCCCGCTCCATCACATCCAGGCCCTCCTTATGGCCCACCACCTGGACAGCAGAGGGGATGGTCAGAATGGAAAGCTACCGCAGACAAGCCAAACTAATGACTTTTACTTACAAATGACAAAGAATTATAAAAAAAAACAGGAGCACAAATAGGCTACTGTGAATTCACCGGGTCTATATCTAACTACAGTGTGGACTCTTCAAACAGGAAGCTTTTGAGTTCTCTGTGATTTCATTTGCCGGAGCACAAGTACAGTGTTGGTAACAGCCTCCTGCCTGAACAAGCCTGTTATAAATGAAAACCTCTCAGGAGGAGCCTGAGCTCGTACCTGCATGACGGTGACGGCGCCGTAGGTGACAGCTGTCCAGTAGATGGAGCCCACCATGATGCCAGCTGCAGCGAAGGGGCCGGCCTTGGAGATGAGCCGGTCGGCCAGGTCCAGCACGTAAACGACAGGACCTGTACAGAAACAATGGATATAAATGTCAGAACTGAGGGAAGACATGTGCAACTCTTATTTCTTCTCATCGGTGTTCTGTAATATTTGACCTTGACAGTTACATTAATGGGCTTTTCCTGAAAGTAGCCAAAACATAAAGCACAGGAGTATTAGTTTCATTATCCAGTTATCTGCTAAATTCATGGAATAATAGTTTTGTCTCATGATTTCATAACGTCTTTAACATATCCCAGTGTCCTCCTCACTGCATCCATCTACAGAAATAGAGGCTCCGGCTATTTCTGTTGGTCATCTTGTGTAAAGGTTAAGCTGGAACATAAAGTGAGTCAGCAGTTTAACCGGCACCATCACCAGCTTCCTTTTCTGCTTATCAACAAAACAACTAAAGGCTTCAGGAAGCTCACATGCAAGAAACACGTGACTAAAATATGACAACAATGCAGAAAGTGAAGTCTCTTCCTCGTCGCTTCTCCAAAGTTTGAAGCAGGTCATGAGCGGCGCAACACCTAGCGACAACGCCAGCTTATTGACACGCAGGGAGGAGCTTCTCGGGCAGCGAGATTAAAAATAACCGGGCTGAATCTGGACAAGCATGTAATACGGATTAATCTGAAGTCCAAACTTGACTTCAGAGCAGTGACATCCCCGTCTGACATCAGGGGCACAAAAAAAATAAAAAATCTCTGCTGCCTCCTCCTCTCTGGCATTCTGGGCAGACTCGAGGGAAATCATGCAATATTTACAGGAAGGCAACCTGATTTCCTCACTCCGACAGACCCATCCGCATCCTATTAATAACTAGCCCAGGAGTCAGTGGGAGGAGAGCGGGGTGGGGATGCTACCAGAGGGACTGAGCGCACGGCGAAGCACCGAGCGTCTCTGTGTTGCAGTGGAACTCGAAACTCAAACTGCAAGATTGGATCCACAGCAGGCCTGAGCTGAAAGGCCCTGGAAGCCTGTTTGGTCAAACACATCCTTACTGGGGCTCCGATGAGTTTCACGTTGGTTAATAATGAATCATTTTCTCAATCAGTTGGTCTATAAAATGCCAGAAAATGGTGGAAAATGTCCATCAGGGTTCCACAAAGCCCAATATGACATCCTCAAGCCAAACAAATTCAGTTTACAGTCACAGAGGAGGAAAGAAAGCAGAGATATTTAGATTAAAGAAGCTGGAATCAGAGATCTGACTTAAAGACTTTGGTAAATCGATTAATGCTGCAGCTGTACTTCTTGTCGCTATGCAGACAGAGATGTCAGGATAACGGACACCTCAGGACTCAGCAGTCCACCTGCATCTGAAGGACAAAGGACATTCATTTGAAGACAACAACGGACAGATTTTGGCCAGATGGTTTGAGAGAGGGGTTAAGGAAGCCATCTACATCCTCAACAGAGGAGGAGGTCTGAGGCATCACCTCTCACCTGTCTATGATTCAGTCCTAAGATCTCACCCCAGAAAGATGCAACCACATCCACACGTAGCCACAGAAGACCCTAACGAACCCCACTGTGGCACTGTGTAACAACTCACATAACGAAGGGGAGGAGCAACAAACCCCCAATTAAAACTGAAGTATAATAATGGCTCCTTTAGGGTATAAGTATGTGGAACTCCCAACTAGTCAGACAGAACTGATGAAGCCTCTTGGATGAGAGGTGGAACGGCTTCAAGTCCAGTTGCTACGATTAATCCACGAGAACACCCACGACCTGGATGACTGAGAATCTTCACAGACAACGGACACCTCAATTCAGAAAACATGATTGGACCAAAAGTACCGCAGCTGTCAAAGGTACTAGAAACTGTGACTTCTCTGAAATGGCATTAGCCAGTGCAGACAGACGCAAAAACTCATGTGACAACGACTAAACGTCAGAACGCAAACAGCATGAGTTGGAAAAAAACCTCTCAAACTCGTCTAAGCAGCCCAAAGGCTAACCGATCTGAAACCAGAACTCTAGTATGAGTTCAGTCAGTGCTTTTATTACTAACATGTTGTCACAACGCTCCTGAAATGTTGCTTTTCACGACAGCTGCAGTAGAGCGGCGACGCACAACATTCCCAGAGGCCAACTTAGCTGGTTTAGGCCAACGTAGCAGCAGCAGGTCAGTGTGAGCTGCTGCTGCTGCTAATAACATTAACAGGCCACTGACATGTCCACATATAGCCGTACGGGTGTCTTTCCTAATGGTCTTTACACAACATCGGCACGAGGAGGACGTTCAGCAGCAAAGAGAAGCGCAATGTAAACCAACAGAGTGAAGTTTTTTAGAAGCTCAGAAAATATGACCAAACCTCACATGAAAGTCCTGACGAGGAAACTGGATGAGTGAGTTTTTTAACAGTCATGTTTGTTTTACATACTCAAAGTCTGAACTGTTTCTGTGAGTACTCTTAAATAAACGTGTTACATCTGGGCTATTTATGTGCATTTTTATTTATTTTTTTAATAGCAGACGGCTGGGCACGGCAGTAGAAATGCTACGCCACCACAAAAGATGGCGGTTGTTTTTTATAATGATGTTTAAATACAGTCATTTCATTTATTTATCAAAATTGGTGAATGGAATTGTAGAATTTCAGTAGGGCTGGAATCAGGACATCAATTTTGATCTTCGAATATCCCGCCCCTGCCGCCCACTGCCACTGATGGTGGATACAGTACGGTGACTGCTGATGGCGGAAATGCCCGCTCACTGCTGCCCCGTCAGAACAAATACCCACCCACCACCACCACTGTGCGGCACCCCCAAATATTCTGGATATTCCTCATTAATTGGGGCCGAACATCTGGAGAACAGAAATTGCTATTCGGACCAGGCCTAAATTTCAGTAGTACTGGCACAAACTACCAAATTTCTGGTATCGCGATATCCCTGATTTAGACAAATTTACCCACAAACAACAGTTTTGAGATATTTCACATGTTAATTGAAGCAGCATTAAGCAACACTTGTAAACACAATGTTAAACCACCATTCTCACACATGCAGTCTAACACTGGGAGATTCACCAAACTAAACTCAGTCATCTTTAGCGTGATCACTTCAGACAGTGACAGACAAAAGCAGGATTCCTTTTTCTAACAGACGATGGTCGGTTTTCAGAATCAGACGTTTTTTTATTGCCAAGTGAGCTCGCACACACAAGGAACTTGGTGAGGTGAGTGAGACTGGTACACAGCAATAACAAGACAAGAATAAATATAGAAATCTAGATCTAAGAAATTCTAAATAAAATATGTAAAAGTATAAAAGTACTACGTAAATAAGAAGTACTATGAAAAGAGACATAAACCAAGTAAGAAATGAGGAAACAGTTTAAATATAACGTAGCTGCTGTTAGCTCCACTTGCTGTTTAAAGCGCCTTCTCGTTCTGACTTCAGAACACTTCAAACTAACTGGTTGTTCTTGCAGTAGAGCTAATTAATCACAGTCATGTAGCTAGAAGGTATTACAGCAGACTCTTTCTTCATTGTGTTGCTGTCTGCTGACAAACGTAGACGAACCAGACAGGTTATATGTTTTGTTGTTATGTTTGAACAGAATGTTAGACTTTAGACAAAAGTAAAGAATTTACAGGATTAACCAACATGTTGGACAAACATAACCTCTTCTTGGGTAACTAGTTTTACTGGAGGTGCTAAACTGTAAACTTCCTTTTATATCTAAAAAAAACGAGCTGCTGGTTTGTGGCTGCACTACGACAGCGCTCATGACTGGCTTCCATACAGCAGGAAACACTAGATGTGCTCGTTGAGAGCAGAGCTTTAGTCGAGTGATGTGGCGCCACTAATGTTAGAATGTGAAGCTGGTCGTGTTAAGAACAGAAGCTTATGTTCTCCCATTCCTTACACTTTGATGTTGCATGAAAATGACTTGAAACCACTTCGACATAGAAAGAAATACTAAAGAATTTAGAATAAATAACAACTAATGACTTAGAGTTTTGTTTATTTACGATTACAGTTGAGGCCAAAATGATTCCTACCCAACTTCTTGGACTAATACCTTGTTACTGAAAATGACATGAACATTTGACAACAAGATATTGTTAAATTAGAAATTTCAAGTATTTCTTTCTTTTTCCATTTTTACTAAAAAATAAGAATTCAGTCATCATGTCAATGCCTTTAACTGTCACCTCAACAGTCAAACGGTTCTTATAACTTCTAACAATCTTCCTGCATGTCTCCACTGGGATTTCAGACCACTTGTCTTTGTGACAATCTCCAAGTCTTTGAGGTTGAAAGTCTTTCTTGCCATCACTCAGATTCTTGATGGGATTCAGTTCTGGACTCTTGTTGTCTGCCCAAGTTTTTCTGCAGACTACCTGATGTTTTCCTCCAAAATCTCAATGGAGTCTTTTTATGAAGACATCTGAGCCACTGTATAAAAAAACATGCCCAAAGCTTTGCATTTCCATCACTATCTTTGATGCTCTTGTGGTGGACTGCTTCACCTTTCTTTCATGGTCAGTGTTGATGGAGACCAGCTTTATTCAGTATCTGCGTTGAGATGCTGGTACCAGCTTGATCTTGGTGTTGATCCTTAGATGGGTCTTGCCAGTGCATTGGTGACTTTTGGCTTCGTATCAGCTCTTTGGAGATTTTTCATTGTGGAACCCTTTGATTATGTTTTGCACCGTGGCCACTTACACTTGAAAACACTTGGTTAAATGTGTCTAACAGGAAGCTCACTGAGGTCTTTGGTTTTAGGTATGACTTGCAATTGACTCAGTGACCAGAGAACTGCTGAGTCATACTTGTCTCAGTTCATAGAGTATTAAGATGCTGTGAAACAACATCTTTTATTACTTGTCTATGACCTTTCCAGCCACAAGAAATCTATTGGTCAAATAAAAATGTAGTAAAAATGTAAAATTTGGCATGGGTAGAAATAATTCTTAGCTTAACTAGAACACAGCAAGTGAAATCATACATTTGGTCCGTTTTATTAAAATGTGGTTCAAAGGTCAGTTCAGCAGGCTTTCT